ATATATATATTTAAATCATAATTAAGAAACTAGAGATAAATTTGGTATAAAAAATACAATTTCCTTTTTATTAAATAAGAATATTTAAAAGTATAAAACAAATCATTGATCAATTTTAACGATTTATTTATTTTGCATAATATCCTCCGAGAATAATTCGCTCATCTTTGATCTTTTCAGTTAAAAGAATGAATTTCACATGTGAAAAAGATCTCTAAACACTTTCCTTATTTTCATATATATGAAAATATGATAAATTAACTAGGGTTGCAGGGGCAGCAAATAAGATTTTAGATAAAATATATTAATCAGGAGGGAGCTCTAGCTTGGCAGACTCGTAAAAAGCAAAATATTTTCCTTCTTCAATCTTTTAAAATCGCCAAATCGAGCAATTATTGTTCCAGGCAATAGTTGACCCTTTTTTTAATGTATTCTCCTGCCAGTTGTATAACAAGATCATTGTTCAATAACTTCATACGAACTATCTATTATCGGATTAAATGGGCGTGGATATGAGTTTATTTCGACTCCAAAAATCACCAAGATTCTTTTCCGCAAAAAATCTTGTCATCATCATTAAGTAATATCTATAATATTTAGAGAATTATACTGTTTATTATATAATAAATTTAAAACATCATAAAATTTCATTTAAATTATTAATATTTGTATTCAATTATGCAAATATCTTAATATATGGTAAATATAAAATTCAATGAACCCCATTGAACCCTGGACCAGGTTTTGTTTTGTTTTAGAAATTTTTTTAAAAAGAGCTTAAGTTCGGTATGAGGTCAGTAAATTTTTCAACCGTTTTCAGCTCCGGGTTAAAGTTCAATTCAAACCTCTCTTCTTTGGTGCTTTATTAGTAGTGGAGGTTAGTGCTTCAATCAGCTTAGTAGTCCCAAATAAAAAAAAATACATTATTGAAGAAAAAAATTAACTAATGGCGATCCATCAAAAAAAACAATGATAGTAATAAACATCCTTTATTATTAATTCCCATTTAGTAAATTCTAATTCCAAAATATAATAGTTATTAACAAAATAAACAAAAAAAATGTCCACACCAAAATAAAAACTAGAGTAGGAACAATCATCTTGTTTTTGCCATTATTTGATAATTCCAATTTTTATGGAGTCAACAAAAGCAATTGCATGGAATATTAGTTTATTTTTCTTTTGAAAAGAAATCTATTTTAGGCCATTATGTAATTTTCACTGAGAGAATTCTAAACACAATCTCCCCTAACTCCATAAAATAGAGATTAATTAATGACAAAGATTGGTTTAAAATATTTTAAAAAAAATTTAACATTACCGAGATAATAAAAGCAAAAATTAACGTTATGAAGATATGAAAGTTGATACCAAAAAAAATTAACGTTATAAAGATAGGAAAACGTTCATTTCTTGAATACGGCTATTATATATATAGATCATCTAAAAATATCAAAACGAAAAACAAAAAGTAATAATAGGTAAGGTTACAAAAATTATATTAAAACATAAATTTTTAATATATAACTGTTGCGTTATATACTTTTTGTTTTTGAATTCTTTTTGTTTTTGAATTTTTTATAATCTAATTTTTATTATTTACTATAATCTAATTTTTGTTATTTGTTATAATCTAATTTTATTTTATAAACGGCGTAACCTTACTTTTTTAATATTATTTTACTTTTTTGTATTTCATTTATATTCTAATTTGGACTTATAAAAAAATGTATATAAACGAAGTGTGAAATGAAAAAGTTAGTTAATAAAATATATTTTTACTGACTCGCACCTCGCACCATATCGTTAAGAACCATATTCTTTGCATGGTGCCCTTTGGGTGGTGGACTAGAAAAAGATGACTACCTATTGTGACGACTATCTAACCTATAGAGACCGCTTTACCTATTGAAATGACTACCTTATCTATTGATATGACTACCTATTGTGTATCTAACCTATAGAGACTGCTTAACCTATGGAGATGACTACCTATTGAGACTATCTTATCTATTGTGACTGCCTAAGCTATTAATATCCTATGCCTAATATACTGAGATGACCAAGAATCAAACCTTAGTACGTTCTTTCATGCAAAAAACTTCTTTCTTTATGGTGTCCCGGCTCTGGATGTTGGACTGGAATATAATAGCCAGCACCTAACCTAATGTGGCAACCTAGAAAGAACCATAATGAAAGTTGGACGTTAGGATGAATTCTATATTGTGAGACCAATGATGATTACTTATTATTCTAATTCACGTAAGAAGAAAAGTTATTATATTAAGATTTTATGCCAGGATAAAGGCATGTTATAAATTTTTAAAATCATTAAAATGTAAAATCATAATGGATATTTGAACACACAAAAAGCCTTTAAAAATTATTTATAATTTCTTAGTGAAATATTGATACTAAAATGTAAAATCATAATGGATATAGACCACACAAAAAGCCTTTAAAAAAATTATTTTCTTAAATTATAGTGAAATATTGATATTTTTTTGATTTCTTGAATGATGACCAATTGTTGTAAATTAACTAAACCTAAAGATGAAATGATGACCAATTGTTGTAAATTAACTAAACCTAAAGATGAATTCTTAGATATAATTAAAAATAAACCATTAAAAATCCCAAACAAGAAGATTATTAAAATGTAATTAAAACATATGAATTAAAAGGGATTTAATATGATAAAAATGTTTTTGAAATAAAGCTTTTGAAGATTACATTTTTTTTAGATAAATTTGAATGATGTGATGAGATCATTTTCTAAAAACTATCTTATGAAGAATTTTTTTTTTGAATTAAAATTAGGGTGTGAAATTTAAAATTTTATTTAAAGAGAGGGAAATGTGAATAATATTTTATTTGCATATTTTAACCTCGGAGATAGAAAATAAACAAAAATTAATTAAACACTAAAACGCGAAAAATTAAACGCTTATAAAATATAAATGCTAAAAAATGTAAAACGCAAAAAATATAAAACGCTAAAAATATAAAACGCTAAAAATATAAAACGCATAAAACGCTAAAAGTATAAAAGTCTATGATTAACTTAAAAATAATATGATAATCATTATGATTTATCGTTCCTTATTCTGGATTAAAATTTTATTCCTTATTCCATAAATTATCATTCCTTATTATATATTTTATTGTTCCAAAATTCAAAATTTTATTCGTGCATATTATTCATATATTTGATTTGATCAACTATTCCAAATTATATATTCCGATTTATTCCAAATTCCAATATTCGACTGGATTAATTATGAAATTTGAGAAATGTGAACAACGTACGATAAGGATATCAAGCTAACGATAACGTTCAACGATTTCATCAAACCTACGAGAACATTTAAGACTTATGCGCTAACCAAGAAGAAACCGAATACAATCGAAACGGAACTTCTAGAACAACAAACTCTCTATGACTTCTCCGATGAAATTATCAGAAGAGGGAGAATGTTGCGTTATATACTTTTTGTTTTTGAATTTTTTATAATCTAATTTTTATTATTTACTATAATCTAATTTTTGTTATTTGTTATAATCTAATTTTATTTTATAAACGGCGTAACTTTACTTTTTTAATATTATTTTACTTTTTTGTATTTCGTTTACATTCTAATTTGGACTTATAAAAAAATGTATATAAACGAAGTGTGAAATGAAAAAGTTAGTTAATAAAATATATTTTTACTGACTCGCACCTCGCACCATATCGTTAGTATCCATATTCTTTGCAATAACAAAATTATATTATTAGCTATATTCAATAATAAAGGATAAAGGAATATATTGTAATAGTTGTATATTTTATCTAATAAAAGTTTAAATCTTTTAATTTAATTATATTAAAAATAATTATAACTACATTTTAAATTTCAATTACATTAAATCCGCAGGTTGGCGTTTATTATTTTGAATATATTATTATATAAAATATAATAATTTAGAATTATATATGAGAATTTATTCGCTAATTAAAAGTTCATTCTAATAAACTGAATTAACATAACGCATGGTAGAGGGGTATGTATAATATTTAAAACAAAATCATTCCCCGGTAAAGTATATTGTTAATATTACGATGTACAATATTATTTCAAGTGACTTTTTAAATAATAAAAATTAACTATTATTTATCTTAATTTATCTAAGAGTATTATAGTAAATGATTAATTTATATTTATACCATTAGAAAAAAAAAATCACTATGAAAGCCTTGTCGTCGGACGCCGTCAAATCAGATGTTTTGGGCTATCCTATCCTACTATTTTAGGATTAAGCCATTTTGTGGTTTACATGCCAACTCACTATCGATCATTATATAAATTCCACATGTTATTTAAATACCCACAAAGCTAAAGGATACATCTATCTTATTTAATTCATGAATCGCATATTCAGTAGTATCATACAAACCAAAATAATAAATCAGAAATTAATGAGTTGCCCAATATTTATCTAATAAATTTTATAGTAAACCCACAACTAATTATACTACCCTTTCCCCACCTTGAATTCTCTCACGCGATATTAAAACAAGATAGTTAAATTATTTTAATAATAAAACGGTAGCATAGTTTTCATATATATAATTCAAATAAGGGCTCTTAAAACAAATATAAACAGGATCAATATAATCTCTTTTGATGATACTAAATACGTTTTGCAGTATAATAATATTTAAATACTTCTTTACAAAGAAAAAAAATATCAGCTGCTCTTCGGGTAGCCAATCAAATTGTAAGATTTATATGACATTACATCGTGCAGAAAATTTTAACCAATTTTCACCTAAATTCTCGCCATCTTTGCTAAATTCTCCCTCTTTAATCTTGAAACAGTTAAACATATTTTTTTTGAAATATTTATTTTTTATAGCAGATGAAATAATTACATATATATATATTTAATTACGTTTAGGATATTTATGCATGTTTAATATCAATGTCTTACATACCTTCTACTGATAAAAAATATATTCTATGTAACGGTCATTGTTACATGAAATTCGAAACTTCTTATGGAATAACCTTTTATAAATGTTCTAAAAAATTATGCTATGGATCTGGTTCAATAGTCAATAATCTTTTTCAGAGCATAACGAATCATTCAGCTCATTGTATTCAAGCTGCTGGAAATAACAAATTTAATATAGTTTTAGTTAAAGGTTAATTTTAACCTTAACCTCTTAAAAATTTTATTTATTTGCTAGGCCTAAATAATGCCAAACCAACTCGAGACACTTATGAACAGATTTGTTCACAATTAGGTACCCTTTATCACTTTAATATATTATATGTCTATATTAGGGCAAAACTCATCAATTCCTACAATAATATTAAATTCTGATCAAAAGAATATAGCAACAAGTTATATATAATTCTATTTATTTGCTTCATTTATTTTTAAAGTAAATATATTTTTGTGGCTTATATGTGTTGATACGTTAAATTTAGTTATTTATGATTATTTTTAGATATTCTAAAAACTAAAATTAATAATCAATCTATAGTTATGGACAACAAATCAAACACAAATGAAAACAACATAAGTTTATATATAACTATATCAAACTAATATGACATTAATAATTGTATTTTAGAAATAAAGTCAACAGAAGACCTACCAAAACTCAAAAGTATTGATCTAATAAAAATTGAGGATGATGTAATAATGACACAAGGTGAGTCAAACCATGTTAGTACAGGTAATCAAAAATTAAAAAAATATTAAATATAAATATATATTTATTCCTAGACTAGACATACACACCAATAAACTATTGGTAGCTGATACAAATTAAAATTTTATTGATCGAGTATTTATATATATATAGACAGCATAAATTGACACACCGACATAAATTTTTTATAATATTTATTTTAAATTGCAAATAAAATTATTTTTTTAAAATAAAATATACACTGCAAATTATCATATTTTTAGATTATATAAATTTGAATTTTATAAATTCAACTTCTTATTCTTGTAAAAATAATAATGTTATGGCTCTGACAATCCACATATTTTTCAACAATCTGATTTGATATTGGTTCAAAACCGATCCGACACCAATCCGATATTTATATTGATTTTTCACCACCCCCCTTTCAGCAAATGTAATTAAGAAATCAATATTTTTTATGCAAAAAATCAAATTATGCATTTTATTTTATTTTTTTTATTTCTACAATAATTAAAAAAAGTTTATGGATATTGGTAGTATTAAATGAATTTTTAATTATTCCTCCCCTTGAAATTAGAATTTTGCATATAACATATTTTGCAAAATTATCTTTGTCTTTTGTAAAATATTTCCATAATTCAAATACCATATTTAAAAAATATTTAAAGTATAAATAATAAATTGACGTTATTATTTAAAAAGATTTAAAATAAATAAAACTTTGGGTGTTCCTTTTTATTTTTATTAAAAAAAGTTTTTAAATACTATAAATCTATTTAAAATAAATAAAATGCATTTATAGAAAATATTTTTAATATAAAATAAATATAACATAAAATAACAAAAAAATAATATTGGATCAGATTGGTTTTTTTACAAGTATCAGCCCGATCCAATATTTTTTTGGAAAACGCTAAATATCGGCACAGCTCTAAATATTATTTTAAAAAATTTGTCACTTTTTTTGATCTATCAGCAAAGTAATAAAATTTTAAAATCTTAAAAAACAATCATTATTAATGTCAAAATATGATATAAACGAATATATGAATAAAATCTATGATGTAGGATGTTTATACAAGTTTCAAATATTATTAATTAAATAAATGTAAAGAAGTGTTGCTTAATATATCAATGTTACAGATGAAAATTATTTTAAAGACCAGGAGATTTCTTGGAAGACTTCAGTCTTGAAAAATGGTTACTAAAATTAAAATTTTTTGCACATGTGTACATTATGTTTACTGAATTAGTAATTTTAAATTGAAATTGAAATATCTACAAATTTATCCAACAAAAAATCATAAAACAATATATTTAAATTATAATACATATCAATAATTCAACTTTAAACATGTTTTAAAATAAAATTATAACACTAATAGCATTCATATATAATAAAATTTTATGCAAAGATAAAAATATAACATGGATAGAGTTTATTCAAATATGACAATAGATGTATAGTCCCCCACTCTTGCCCCATTCTTTCTCTTGATCCTAAAACAATGTATGCAAGGTATTATAAACATACCCCATTTTGTTATGTTGTAACTGGATTATTTGTTATAAACACAAGTATACTTTATTAAAATATAACATCTTTTTACTTAGAGAGAATCTTTAATTGGGTCTTTCTATTCTTGTTTGTTCTATTCTCTTGTATTTCTCCAATACAATATCCTTCCCCTGAAGAAAATCGGCCTATGAATTCTTATCTGTATTTCCTTGCTATAACATGGCTAGAGTATTATTCTGTTGTGTATTATGTATCTTTGAAACCAATTTATAAACTTTTTAACTGGACAAATATGACTGTCTCTGACTAAAAATTGGCTCAGATAATTCTATTGTGTTTTATGCCAGTCTCACTGGTAATTTTTATATGATGTTGACTTGTGGTAGTATATATATATATATATTGCTTTAGTTAACACTGGATTTTTTGTTTCTTATTTCATTTTTTTTTTCTTGCAAATCAATCCTTTTATATCTCGTCATTACGCAGTTGTAGTTTACACCAAGATTTACTGGCTGTTATATCATTATGTTAATTCTTGGATATGTTGGGCCATCTATGAGTTCTGTTCATTGATTTCAGCAATGCAATATTTGAAAGGGCACCGTTTAAGAAAATGATACCCTCCACAGCCTATACAAGCTCTAAAAGACTTGTGTACTGGTCTTGCCGTGTAAGTTTATTATTTTTGCTATTTTAACATAATTCCTACTAAATTGACAGATTTCTTTCACATTAGAAGTTGATTGCAGTCTCGCTACTTCCATTCTCGAATTTTCAATTCACGGAGACGTTTCTAAAGCTTTACCAAAAATCATATCATTGGCTAATAAACATAATATAATATCGATATTTGACATGACAGCCCTGCAATGAACCTATTCCGTAGGGAATGATATAGCATATCTCCAAACGAGCTGCTAGATGTTTACAGTCTATGATATTTAAGTACGGATTCATTTTACTCTTGTTTGGATGTCGCAAATTTCTACCTTTCTTTTGAGAATTTATATCAGCTCAACGATTTTCTCTTCTGACGTGAACAAATATCATACATTATTGTATATATTTTGTGTTCTAAGTTTATTAGAACACAAAGATTTTTGTTGCTCGTTTATCATTTTAACGGGTATACATTCTAAACCGATGGGTACACTTATTCTCCCTCTTATAGTGCAGGCAATTTGTATATTCATATTTATCTCCTTGTTTTTTTACGAAGCGCCAATTTCTTATGTTAACACTTATTGCATAAATAATTCAATATTTATGTTAGGATCCCAATTAGAATAAAATCACACTCTCTGATTATGAACCAAGAACGTGAACTCGACTTTGAAAAACATTTTAGACTTGGATCACTGAATTCGCTAAATTAAAATTATATCGACAAATGCTGAAATAGCAGTTTAAAGTTGTTAAGTAGAGCGACAAAATAGTACCGCACCCTACCCACAAGATACTCGAGCTTAACAAGAGATTCATCAATACATAAAATTATCGATGCGACAAGTGCCTGTATAATTATAGATACGACAATAGTGCCTGCTTACAAAATGGATATCCAAATGGATAATCTTGCGGGCCATAACAAATTTAGTAGCCAGGAGCCGAGATGAGTACTTCCCGAAAAAGCAAGTTTTGAAAGATAGAAATGTCTTTTACCGAGAATGGGCATACATAGATTCTCTCCGTAAGAAGAAGAGATAAATTTATCGATCCTGTTTAATCGGAGAACGACGAGCCGCTAACCGCCGTTTTGATTTTTTAAAAAACCTTCGCCCACCTACGATACTATTGGCAGCGGACGTAGGCCAATATATAATTTGTGATTGTTAATTATTTCCGTCTAAAAAAGAAATACTAGTTATACATTCTAAATATTATTTTGTTGGTCATTAAAAAATTTTTAATATAATTTAATTTTGCATCAGGAAAAAGTGACTAAATAATTTACTTTTCACTTATATTTAACTGCTAAATATAAGTTTAAAAAAAAAAATGTCAAGTGATTTGTGTCAGGTGTGCAATTTTTACCATCATTATCTATTTGTAAAATGAAAGCATTTGGTCTGAATCGGAAGTTTTTTAGCTTTCTCGCCCTGGACTTTCAATTTTTTCCTTTTTCAAAAAAATATATTTTAAAAAAATTGACTAAATTTAAATAAATCGGAGCTGGGCCCGGCTTAAAATATACGTTAAAATCATAGGTTTTGAAAGAAAAAAATATTTTCAAAGCATTTTTCTACTAATAAAATTTGCGATTTTCAACCCTGAAAGATTTTTCCATGCATGAAAAAATAATAAAAATATAAAATATTTGGTATTTTTAGAGGTAAAATTTTTTGAATATTTTTTTTTTCAAACTCTAAGCTATCTTAAATCTAAGCTATGCTTAAGATTTTCTATCTATTGTTTTAAGAGAATAAAATATGTTATATCCGCCCCCCCCCTCCTTCTCCACCAATAAAACGTTTATATTTTATATAAAATACAAATCGCGAAACGTCAGAAGTTTATCGTTTTCAGTGAAATAATGGGGAACTATACTCTGATAAAATTTGCATAACAATAATGAAATCTCTTTTGGGAGTAGTAGGTGGGGTGGGGAGGAGGAGAAGACATATCCCTAAAAAAATACCTTATACAACCACGAGGGTGGTTAAAAATATAATTTTAAATTTAAAAAAAAATTATTTTTTTTTAGAAACATTAGAATCGCCAACCGATAAGATTGCTGTAGATGCCGAAACTTCTAGAGGAACATCTCAAGATGAATTTCGGAAATTTTTGTCTAACCATCCAGGTTATACCCATATAATTACTAGATTTTTTGATTGTTTACGTAACATAAATCTCATATTATAAATGATTACAAAATGTGTAAACATTCTGAATTCATATTAGCGCGATCGCGATTTGACAGCTGATCGCTTTTTTAAATCTTTAAAAAAATCTGTCAGCTGTAAAATCGCGATCGCTACCGCGCCACTGTGTATTCAAGGTTATCCCGTTTCGATTCGATCATCATAAATATAAAAAACAATATCAATACCCCCCCCCTCCTATTTTTATCGATTTAAAACTATCATTTTGTTTATAGTTTTTTATATTTATTTTATTTAACGGAATTGATGAAAACAGCTGGGGACGCCATTTTGATTACGCATTATCAGTAATAAAAATTTTAAACGAAGAGGCCAATTTATATTTCCTATATGTCTGACGCAAATTTTGTTAAAGGAATAGCCTGATCATCGAGTTAATAAATAGTAGTTTATTTAACATGAGAATAATTACTATACGGGTTACCAAAATGGCGGTTCCAGCTGATTAGCATTCAACGACGCTTCCAAATGCATTATTATGAATGCATCGTCAGTCTAGGTATTATTATATGTCATCGGTTTTACCCAAAGCTTAAGAAATTGTGTTGTTTAAAAAGACTAAGATTATAAACCAAAATAACATTATGTAAGTCTCAAAGATTTTGCTCATAGTTGGCCAGAAACGCTCGGACATCTATTTGCCAAATATCAATGCTCACATAAATTTATTTTAGCTAAAATTTTATTTCGGGCCATTTTGAAAAATCGACTCAAATCGTAGCTTTTGACGGAGACTAGCGTTTTGAAGGAAATAATTAATTGTTTAAAATTTAAAGCTCGCGTTATTTCACAACTTAAATTAGAGCATATTTTTTTTATTAATATTGATATTTCCTCAATTAATACATAATTTTTTTTTTATAAAATTATATTAAAAAATTATTTTTTTTTTTTTCTTGAATAATTAAAAGATTTTAATAAAAATCAGTAAATTAACATTAAATTAAATTTTTCAAGGAATCGCATTTTGTAATGAACATATTGTGTCATTGAGTAAAATCCTAGATAAAAATATCTGATACATGTTACTGTACAACAAGAGCATTGTTAGTCTTTCAAACCCCCACCCCCACCCCTGACACATTTTTATAGGTGGCATCCACAATGGAGTTTAATGACAGACTTGGCTAGATTGAAGAGTCTGAAAGATATAAGAAATGAAATCTTAATTCAGCTTTGTTGAGAGTATTTTTAGAAAATTTGTATTAATGATTTTTTTTTTGAATAAGCTAATTCCTCCAATTCTCCTTGAATTTATAAATTTTTGTACCCATATTTGTTTTTTTGTTTTTTGAGTCTCATTGAAAGAATAGCTTATTTTGATTTATTAAAAGATTAATATTAAATAAAAAAATATTTTGGTGAAATCTGATTGTTTCTTAATGGAAGTTACCACTTTCAATATATTTTGGCTATTAAATATGCCGCTTTTACTTCTGAAATTTATTATATATATATCATTCAAAATATTTTGATCACCACCACCTTGCAAAATAAAATACCTAATTCTTGTATTATATAACATGCTTCATCAAATTTAGTTCTAATAAGATGCTCCCCTTGATATTGGGGGTCCAATAAATAAGCAGCATTGTGATCACATGTATTTAGATCATTTTTTATCTTTTCAAACATAACTTTAATTTTTTTTTTCTTCAGAAGGAAAAAATATAGAATCATGGCATGATTGTATTATGTATTTTTCCAAATTAAGCATCTCGTTCTTTACGAGGGCCAAAGTACATTTAACCCCTTGCACTTTCAACAATGAGGTAGCTAAAGTTTGGAGTATAGCTAAAAATGTTAAATTTTTCATCCAAAATATTTCTTCATTTAGTATATTATTAATAATTTCTATGGGACAAATATCACATACAGCTTTTTCAACAACTGATGCTTTCAGAGCTTTCTTATATATTTGTATTTGCTCCATACATTTTATTGACGATGCCCATTTTGTTTGGCTAATTGTACTTAATGTACATGGTATACCATGTTGATTTTTATTACGAGAAATACTGCTATTCTTGAAAAATTTAACAATTTTTTATAATTATTGAAATATATGGTAACTGAAGTCGTTCAATCTTTCAAAATTGTGAAAGAATAACTGCAATGTATGCGCTGCACAACCATGACATTGTATATGATTATAAATAGATTCCGACTTAATAATTCTCGAGGCTACTTTCATGTTAGCGGAATTATCATTAACTAATTCATGAATTACATTTTTAAATTCCTGGGAAAATATAATCTGCCATATGATGATTTTCCTCGGTATCAAAAAATTTGTAGATTACTGGAGCAGGCGTCATCACCATAGAATTAATAATACTTTCGTTTCTAATGTTGCTCCAGCCATCTACAATTTATGTGAGAAGCTTTGTCTATTATATCTGCAACTCTCACCTCCATATCTCCTGACGCTTTGTCTAGAAGATATCCAGCCAGCTGCCTTCGCCCGGGTAAAGTGTAAATAGGACATATTTTTTTAAAAAAAAATTCTTGGATGTAGGGATTTTCAGTGATGTGGAAAGGTAAATTACCCGCATATCAACATATTTTTATGACAAACTCCTTTGTTGTTTTTCTCTCTGAAATTATTTATATACTTACTTACCATTTACTTTTATCACCTTATTGTGATTAATTTGGAACCTAAATTTTCGGTTTACCTAAATAAAGCATCCAAATACAAAATCTATATTTTCTCCATCTGAAGAAAAAAATAATTAAAGTTTGAAAAGATAAAAAAAAATGATCTAATATGCATGTGCTCACAATGCTGCCTTTTTTATTTTACCCCCGACATCAAGGAGAGCTTACTAGTACTGAATTTGATGAAGCATGTGATATAATACAAGAATTTGGTATTTTGAAGGTGGTGATAATCAAAATATTTTGAGTGATATAATAAATTTCAGGAGTAAAAGCGGCATATTTAATAGTCAAAATATGCTGAAAGTGGTAGCTTCCATAAGAAGAAATAAGATTTCGGCCTCTAGTTGGTGGTATTCAATTTGTAAACCTTGCCTATTAAGAGCAGTAGCTAGTATTTTACTAACATTTCCTAGATATTCATTCGAAAAACAGAAATCGATTGAAGACTTCTACAACAGGAAAATTGGTAAGAGTATATCCTAACTATTGATTAAATATTAAAGAAAATAATGATATTGAATATGAATCGGAACAAGACTTTGACACGGAGGGCGAAACATTAACTATGGATTGCCCATATTTGACATTTGACCGGTCAAATGCACAACCCTGATTACATTTATATGGAGTTATAATTACATTTAGTGAAAGTTATTGCTGCAAGTATTTATTTTTTTGCGAGTCATTATGAGTATTATTATTTTTTTTGGCAATATTATTTTTAAATAAAAAGATTATTTTTTCCTCGCAATTATTAAAGCCCTCAAAAAAAGGGAAGATTATTATTTTTTATTTTATTTTTTTTTATCATCGCTTTTAAAGGGTAAGAAAACCTCAATGACATATATAATACATAGACTGACGATTCATTCATTAAAAGTGTACATCAATGCAAATCAGCTGGAATCTTGGTTACACTAATCATTATTAAAATTTTAAACGAGAGCCTAATTTATTCCTATATATGATGCAAACTTTATTAAAGAATTACCATATCATCGAGATAATAAGGAAGCAAGTTATCAATTTAATAGTAGTTTTTAACATGAGAATAATTACTATAAGTTTTTCCAAAATGGCGGGTCCAGCTGATTTGCTTTTAACGACGCTTAAAAATGCATTTTAATGAATGAATCTTCAGTCTAGGTATTATATTTGTCATTGGGAAACATATATATTGAATAATAAAACTGTGGAATTGAATATACGTGTTATAACGGAAATAAAAACTGCGAAAGTTATCACCACCCTAAAAGAATAATTATGCCAGTCACTTTTTGACAGGCTTCGGGATTTGTCCGGGTATAGATTTATAAACTTAGAAATAATGTTTTGAAGAAATGAAAAAAATAATTGGAAATATATGCGCAATCGTATAACCTCCATAAATTTCTCATTTATAGGGCTCGGTTATTTTTAATATGAATGATGGGGAATAGGAATTGACCCCAAATAGAATTAGGGAATGTGTTAAGTTGACGCTGCATGTAGTCTATTTGAAGGGTAAAGCGCTATTTTCGCCTGAAAAATATTGACTAAGCCTCGAAATTTCGATACTATATGTCTAGACCTTTGATCCTTCTATGAGCAAAATTTTCAGGCTTGCATAATGATTTATCTGGATAAAACACTGAGTTAGCCGTTTTTAAAAATCGGCTCAAAACGAGCCGTTTAACAACACTAAAGAGCCACAAGATGTGATTAATATATATCCAAAGTGGCGATATTCCGAACTCCCTAAAAGGAATCGTATATATGAACGCGATTTGTGATTTTTTTTTTAAATAACCGATTCTAAGCCACCTCTACGTAACGCCTAAAATTATGATCAGCTGTTACCTTAAAAATTATTGGTGTCTTTTTTATCCAATATTAGATTTGCCCGAGAATAGGCCCAACGAATACGTTAAAAGTCTAGTTTTGACCAAATTCCACCACGATGAGATAAACCTCGTCAATTCTCTCAAGGCTACCTTGTCCGAAATGTATAGTGAGAAGGGGATCAAAGAAAGTTTTTTTTTAAAAAAAATTTTATTTTGTTGCTATAAGAAGAAAGTGGGACAGAAAGTAAGAATAAAAGAAAGAACGAAGAAAAGAAAAAAACGAAAGAAATTTAAATATATATATTTTTTTGAATTAAGCATCTCAAAAAACGACCAAGAAAATAGCCAGTTCAACGCCCATCCCAAATCAAACAGGTTTGAAATGTACATTTTTCATTTTCAAAATATTATTTAAATTATTAATTACTTATCTTATATCGCCATGCCGGGTAAATTTGGCATCCAGATATAACGTTCTCCGGAAAAATACTAATAAACGTTTTTTAAAGGTTCAAAATCCCATTTAAAGAACTCATATAAAATGGAATAGCGAATTATGTAGGAAAATAACTATTATAAAAATTATTTAATTTAACCAGGAATGTGGCCTAATTATATTTAATTTGTATTTTTATAAAATGGTAATTTAATTTAATTTAGAAGATTATGTTAAAAAATTTAAGAAAGATATTTTGAATCGCAAAAAAAAATGTCATTCATTTTATTCTGTGGGCCAATTGGGGCAATAAAATATTTAAATATTTCGATTAATTAATGCGCAAGCGCAAATAATGCATTTCAAATGGCCTCGTGCAAATTGGTAAAATTAGCGTTTGACGTTAGCCACCATTTAAAAAAAACGCAAATAGGTTTTGGTTTTTCGTGACCTTTTTTTTTATTCTTCGCCTTGTAATATTATATAAAAATCTAATATAAATGATTTAACTTCAATCCTGAAAAAGGAATATTTAGAAATTAAAGAAATAAGAACGCAGACGATAATATAATTTTCAAATAAACAATGGATGCCCGTTACGTTTTTTAGTTTAAAAATTACGGCAAAACTTAAACGCTGAATTTGTGCGCACTATGAACGCTTTTTATTATTTTAACGACATTATCCTTTCATTAAAGGAGTCGACTAACTTAGATTATTTGCTACGGTCTAACCCCTGCTTTTAACTAATGTGAATCATAGTTATAATTGCATTGGATTTTATGAATTTTCCTTTTTTTTGCCTTCCTCGAGGAAATTTAAAAATTATATTAAAAACAAATATTAAATGAATCTATTTTATTTTTATTATTTAAAAAAAAACAAATGGATTTAAGCATCGAACATATGCACCATAGACCCTATTTTTAACGGCCATCGATACAAAAAATACAGTTACAAAGATGGGGCCACCTTTTACAGATGCCAAAACTTCCGATGCTCGGGCAGGGGTATATTGATCGGAGACACATTTACTAACACTAAAGGACACGATAACTTCTGTACCAATGAATCTGGTAATTGTTAAATCACATCTGGGATTTGTATAAAAAAAATACTTGCCCCAAGTTTTAAATTTATTTTTAGAGCTGTTAATTAATTAAAAAATTGTAATTAACTCCTAATTACAATTACTTAAAATTATAATTAATTACAATTACTTAGTGTTGTTAAACGGCTCGTTTGCCTATTTTTAAAAACGGCTAACTCAATACTTCACTTAGAAAAATATTACGCAAGCCTGAAGATTTTGCTCATAGAAGGAACAAAGGTCTATATATATATTATCGAAATCTCAAGGCCTAGGCTAGATTTTTCTGGCTAAAATATTGAGTTAGCCGTTTTTAAAAATCGGCTCAAAACGAGCCGTTTAACAACACTACAATTACTTACCAATTTTTTTAAAATATCTATACTAAAAACGGTACTTGTTGATTAGAGTTAGATATATGTATTTTCGTATTCTTTGCTAGGCTACTGCTACTAAATTACAAAAAATTGTAAATATGGGGCACGTTTTTTTTTCTTCCTGGAAGGTCAAGATAGATATATTATTAAATTGATTATTGAAAACGATCAATCTAATTTATTCGACCAATATTATACGAGCTATAAGTTGGGGTGCCCTACTGTCTAACACTATTTAATGGTTTATCGAGGTATCCTTGCTCTGGATTTTTTTTTATAATTTAAATTCGATAAAAAAAATTTGAACTCAAACTCCTCGAGGGTTAACTATATTTTCGATGATCAAAATTTCGCCAAAACGGCATTAATATCACAAGTTTACTAAAACAGCTGTCCCCACTCTTAGAAGAACTAATAAAATAATATTAAAAATTAGAAACCGATAAAAAAAAATCTAACCATTGTGAACCCCTATAAACCATATAATTCCACTTGAAAAAAATGTTTTTATTAAAGGAGTTTGCTAATCCTTACATCTTACGATATCACATATTTCATCGATCCATTCATGAATTTTTTTTTATAAATAAAATTATATTTACAGATATGGATCAAGATAGCGATAATACCTTTGCCTCAAGTTTGAGCTTGATTTATTTTATATCCCAATTAATACTTCTTATCGATATTTTGTTATTATAAGACTATAATTTTTTTTTAATATTATGAGTTGACAAAACCTTGTCTAAATATAGTGTATTAGAATTAAAATGGCAATTTTAATATGATTAATTGTATTCAAATATATTGTTAATTGTGTCATGTTTATATTGTGAAGCCATTTTTATATCATTTCCAGGTAAAGAAGTGATATGCATTAAAAAAATATATATTATTTAAAATATATAGGTATCGAATTCGATCCATCAAATCAACAAGAAGATCTTACTTCAATTACAAGTTAATTGCTAAATTTACGATTACACAAAAGAAATAAATTAAAGAAAGAAAGAAAACGTTTATAAAACATTTTCAGAAATTGTCATTTAATTTTTTTTTCCCCAAATAATACCAATATCTATTTTTTTATTAAAAAAAATTGACAGAAATCATTGATTTGGAAGAGAATTGTGATGATAATGTCGAAATCATTCGAACCGGTATAATTGTTAATATAAAATTTTATATTAAATATATCCTTCCTTTTTTCCTTCCTTCCTTCCTTCCTTTCTTTTTTCCTTCCCCTTCCTCCTTCCTTCCTCCCAAGTGGCACACGCCTCAAATAACAAAAAATATTTTACCCATAAAGTTTTAAAAGAATGATGATTAAAAAAAAATAATTATCAAAGTGACAGCTTGTCCAATTCGAGCACCTCTTTTTTATTTGCACGAATTAATCAAAAGGATTATTTATTTTAAAAAAATAAAATAGTTATTCATTTTTTGGCTTTAACCCCCCCCCCTCCCCATTTGATTATTAAGGCTTCCAAGAGGTAAATCGGAATTTGAAACCTCGCAAAAAAAATGAAGACTTAAGAATTGATAGAGAAAATGGAAGCTTAATATAACTAAATTAAATAATGGAACTTGTTAAACCGATACATATGTAAATCCAAGGCCAAAAAATGATGATAACAAAACTTGAACTTATAAATATATTTTTTTAAATTACATTTTATGATTTGTCAATTTTATCATTTTTTTCTCTCTTAAAGATAAACACATGGTAATCGATTGCAAATCGCCGTCATCCATTTTCGAAAGCATGACGCAACCCCTCGAAACACCTGGTTTATTCTTATTTAAAAAAAAAATCTAACTTATATTTTAAGCAACGACTTATTGGATTCGATAAGTTATTGCCATTAAAATGCTTGTTTAAATCGGTCATCAATTTTTTCCAATTATTATAATTAACGAATTCCATATTGTTATAAATCTGCACCCTAAACATTTTCTATGATCTTTATATTTGATTAGCTAGAAATCGTTTTCAATATTTTACCCACGTTTTTAATGAATATTTTTTTATTTTATTTTTTTGAAATTATATTTATTATAGTCCAAACTCAAACCGCGTTTAGACCTCCTATTTTTATCCTGGATCAAAACGACGAGTCCGTTTTCACCCAAGGTTTTATCTTTTCGAAGAATTGCTAGTTATATAACAACTCACCTGCCCCTCGAAATAAACACGATTTATAATAATCTACACCTTTTTCGCGTGAAGGGTTAGAGAGTTGTGAATCATATATTGTCCCCAAAAAATGATAATTTATAAATCGTTAGGAATTTTCTTGCCCGGCCTTCTGCCGGGTTTATCTTAAAAATCATATTTGTTTTTCTTATAATATAAAAGTCCTAGAATTATTGATCAATCTTCGATAATATATAATAAATGTATTTTTTAAATGCTTTATTTTAATTTAGTAGATTATTCTCAATGACTTTATAATAATACTATCCAGAATAATTTCAATAGTAATATAATATCCTTCCAAAAAACATCAAAACTAGAAAAATATAAATATTCTTGGTATTTATTAGATATAAAGTCACTTTTGAGTCTTTTGAACGTATAATCTAAAAAAAAAATTTTGCTTTGGGAGGGGTCCAATAGCGAAAACCCCCTCCGTAGCCACGCCACTGCGCGTATCCCTCTCTTAAGCAATTATATATCTTTTTTTTCAAAAAATAACGTGATCCGTTTTCCGTCCTCAAGATGAACCCTCTTCCAAGACCCCGAAATTTAAGTTGCAGAACGCTAGCGTGTCCTCTTCAAGTTTCCCCTCTCAATCGAAACCAAATAACATAAGCATACACGTATTACCTAAACCGTCGTCATGGTCTGGTCCAAAATACCCTAAAATTATTCTGACCCCCGTAGCCCCCATAAAGCCTCAGCCCCCACAGCCAGCTATCCTGAAGCTCATTAGACCCAAACCTTCAACCACCACTGCCTCCACTCCTACAGAAGCGAAAAACGATTTGTGTGGTATTTATTATATTTTTAGCCTTATTTGGTTAGAATCGGAAAAAGGACTATATTTTAAGAAGCCAGCATGAGACACCCTGAAACTTATGTCTCAATTAGTAAGATCTCGAATTGATTATTTCATTGTTTTTCATAGAAAAACGATTTCAGTTTTATATAAGCTAATATCAATCGATCATTAAAAAATTTTAATAGAAATTTATTCACCTTGCTTTGCTATTGATTTGTCTACGATTCTTGAATGTGCTATAAATACCAGTGACCCGCTGGCCCGAGAACATAGTCCGGGTCTTATTTTGGTTTTTTAAAAATTCTACACGGGTCCTGGGCCGTACCAATAGTTACCTCTGCAGGGCTCCGATAAATATTATAATCTCCCAAAATGTAAATTTGAAAATAAAAAAATAATAAAACGTTCGAGACAGTTGACAGGGCTCTGACCGACTAGAATGTCACTAGGATGCCTCTAATTCTAAACTTATCTTTATTATTTATTTATTTTTAAAACTATTAGTTTCTCCATTTGCGAAAAAAGATAACTCAACAACTGACTTCACGATTATAAGTTCATCGAGTGGCGCTGACAGGCAAACCATTGCTACAAAATGTAAAAATGTTTTACTACTGATATTACAAACTGAAATGTAAGAAATAATTTAATAAATAAATGAAAGAAAGAAAGAAGAAATATTTTTAAAAATAAATATTTACAATATAAACAAAAATACTAGTGTTATTCACGATTCTGTTTGTCTTTCTTTTATATTAGGGTAAGGATTATAAAGCCAGATTTTTTTGTTATAAAAATTATTCAATTTTAGAGGTATATCTTATTTTTGTCTACCTTACTACCTACACAGCTAGGGTTGGCAAATAAAAATCGATTTGATTTAAATCACTATTTATATCATAGAAAAATCGGTGATTTAAATCAATAATTTAAATAAAATTCTATTTATTAAATTTGATAAAAATACTTAATATAAGGGAAAGGCAAAGGACTGAGATTATTTTAGAACTAAATAATTTTTATACGAAAAATTACTAAATTAGTAAAATTTTATTTATTTTGTGTTTTTTCACATAATTAATTGTACAACTCTAATATCAATGTAGAGAGAAATTATTATTTCAAAAAAAAAGGTTATAGTTCAAGGCTGTGAACCCTCCTTCTAAACAAAGGTTTCTGGTTAAGTAAAATATCTCTGAACCCTGTTCGGGTCTAAGGTTTGCAGTCCAGAAATATATACTTATAAAATTTAGTAAAAATAACAGAAACATGAGTTTTTTTAAAAATTTATTTTACTATTTTTAGCAATTACCATAAAAAGAATTTTATTTTAATTAGTATAATACTACAATTTAAAAAAAAATATTCTATTTGTTTTTTTCTTTTCATTTTTACTAGAGAATTTTTACATCTTTTTTTTATGCCTAACTTTTATACCTCATAGCAACTTTTCATGAATAATAATATAAAAAATAGGTTTCCTTAAACGTTTCACATATCTACGAATTTTTGATTTGACAGTCGGCTTTGTATTTGACAAAATATCGTATTAGCTGATGACATATCAATATATATTTTTTTCAATAACCTAACAGATCTCCTGAAACATTAACCTTTTAACTTACAAAGAAATATTAGTGCTAAGGAAAAATAAAAAAAAATGATGTTTTATGATATTTTTAAATCTAAATATGTAATTTCTCTAATTTGAAATATTAGCAATTCAGTTTAAACCATCAAATATTCAAAAAAAAATCAAATCTTGCCAAATCCTACCACACACTTTATCGGGAATGTTACAATGGCATGAACCTTGCTATTTATATTTAAGAAACATAATTTGAATTAAAAGAAAATCACTTAAAAATCTTGACGTTCCACTTTCACAATAAAAGAACGGCCCAAACCCATATGATTAATAATTATAATATAATCGATGTTTCAAACATCAACACGAAAGATTACAATGAAGGTTATACGTACCAAGTTGTTCAATACGCCAAAACCAAGACCTATTACAAATGCGCAACCGTGGGCTGCCCAGCTAGGGCCACTCTGTCCAACGACGTTTTCGATTGCTACAAAGAGCATATACGGGGCTGCCTAATCTCCAGCCTATTAAAAGTAATACTAATTAATAATTCACTTACCACCACCACCCCTCCCCCTTCTTCAATTCTTTAATTTAATTTACTATCTTTAAAGTGTAACTAGGGGGTAGCGGAATTTGATTCCACTTTCTCAACCTAGCATGATCATTTTGCTTCTTGGTTTTTTCGGGTTTAGCAAGATTTTATTTTAACTTTGAACTAGGCGTTTTTTTTTAGATCGGATCAAGCCCTACAGATTTTTAATTTATTTTTTCATAAAAAATTTAAACAGACCCCTTCCAAAAGTTATATAAAGGTTAACAGAATCTGGATAGACCAAAACGGATTTCAGTACAAGAAGAAGTGCAGTTACAAGCACAACATTTACCTCAATTGCAAGAATTTGTCTTGCCCCGCCAGAGCCATCGTGTCCGAGGATGGCATGAGATTCATCAAACTGCATTCTTGTACTAATATGTTGGAGGCAGGTTTTAACCTTAGAATTACTCATAATCATATTTCCCTCTCCCCTAATATTCACTCCTAAAATATCATATCGAGAATTTAATACAATTTTGAATATTCAAATTTATTGCATATTTTTATTTTTTGGGATAAATTTTTAGAAACAGATGATCACTCAAAACATAAGATGTGTAGCCATAACATGGACATAGGTTAGATTTCATATTTCACTGATATATATATATTTTTAAAATGTATTCAATAAAACTTGGTTATATTATAGTTTAGACACGCAAGTTTAACCTTTAAATTCTCTTAAATTTAACAAAGCTATATCTTTCTTTCGCTGTAATAAGTTATCTCAAAAAAAAAACAAGTGAAATTTTTTAAAGTAATAAGTTAAGCTATGGAGAAAGATAATAAAACATGAAAAGTAGTGATTTGCATCGGGCTTAATTTTTCAAGCCCGGTCCAGCCCGAAATTTTTTTATAAAGTTTTGCCTGGCCCGACTTGAATTTATTTAAATATAGAAATTAATTTTTATAATTACTCAAAATAAACGATTAGCCTAACTATGATCGTAAAGTCATTTGATCGTAAATTTGATCCATTTTTTTCTGATTGGTCCATTTTTTTTGATTGGTTTATTTTTTTCAGATTGGTCCATTTTTTTCTGATTGGTCTATTTCTTTCTGATTGGTCTATTTCATCGCGTTAGATTAAAATCATTTAAAAACATTATGCTTAATACTGTAGCTGATAATATAAGACTATTTGTTAAAAGAAGAAATGAATCATTGCAAAGTATGATATATTATATTAAATGTAATTTGATTAAAAAAATTTTTTTTTTAGACAACTCAATAAAATATATCAAATCTAGTAAAGGTAAGGATATTCTCTGCTATAACCTTTATCAATATACCATACATAGAATAGCTGAGCCTACAATATATTACCGCTGCAGAAGGAGAGATTGTAAAGGCAGAGGTAAGTTAGTAGGTAGTATATTTGAAGTGACAAAAAATCATCTAACAGCTGAAGGTATACTTAATACTAAACCTATATAGATTACTTACATTAATTTAGGTAAAGATTCTCAATGTATATCTTGTACAGATCAGAATACTACTATACCAAGTAGATCCAAATATATATGCTTTTATAAAATTGATCCAAAATGATCACAGAAATACTAAATTAAAGAAGGTTCAATGGATGAGCTTATAGAAAACCAATAATAAATATATAACAAAAGGAAAGAATATAAAATAAATAATCTTATTAATCAATATAATTTATAAATTATAGACAAATTTATTAAATAAATGTAATTAATACAGAAAATACAAATTTATAAATATCAAATGATATGACTCAATTATCAATTAATTTTTTTTATAAGTTATATTAAGAAATAGTATAAGTTATATTGAGAAAATGCATAAGAAATATTTCTTAATCATTAAAATTAATCTTTAGTAATCATATTTATAAAGTTCAGTTATATTAAGAAATTGTATATCAAATTTGCTAATTAAATTTTATTCGTGAGCTTTAAAAATATTATAATACATTTCTACATAAAATACCCATAATATAAAATATCATAATATAATTAAAACAATGTCTGATATATTCAAATTGCTTGCATCTGATATAAGAATTGCCTATAATCTGATATAAAAATTGCATATCATCTGATATAAGAATTGCTTGAAATAATTATCTTAAATATTGTTAAGAAATTGATTAGAAGTATCTAATATATTTATGAATAGAAAGTTTCCTGGATAAAAAATGTAAGATGATAATAAAAATTGCTTGCTTGTTTATAAAAAATTGCTTATAGAATAATTACGATTAATAAATGCATATGAGTGAAAAAATCGTATTTTGACCGAAAATGGACCATCTTACGATCAAAGGAGGCCCTCCCAAATAAACGATACTTGTTATGTAGCGTCTACTTTCTATAGATAAAATCGCATATTTTTATTTTATATAAAAAAATTCAAACATAAAATTAATAAATTTAGATATATTTTTAAAAAATTTCTAAGGCCCGACCCGCCCATTAGGCCCAGCCTACTTTTGCAGATCTCTAATGCAAAGTATTATTCCATTCTTACAATAGGGTCCATTTTTAATTTAAAGCAAAAAAAATTAATCATGGAAACTTTACGAGATATGCAAGAGTAAGCAAAAATTAAATATCTTTAAATACCCTCTGCATCAATCGGGCACTTCACTAAGGTTGTCAATATTCAAGTTTGCTAAACTACATAAAGGTTTAATATTGTCAAAAACCTTGATTGACCGTTGCCATTATGACTTTAGAAATTTTTTTATTTTATGACAGGTGAGATGATGCTCATTAAAGATTAGATAGAAGGCGCTCTTATTTTTAAATTATCTATTTTATCATCAATTTTATTTTTTTGGATTAAATTTTGACAGGTTTTTTTTGTTGTTGTAAAAGATTATATTATCTACGAATAATAAAGCTACTAAATCTATCCACGAGGGAGTGAATATCGATGACGATTCTTCCGATGATTCCGTGAGTTCTGCCACTCTCGAAAACGAAATCGGGAAATTTTCCGATTACGACGAACCCACTGAAAGTATTTAAACTTATAATATACATATATATTTTTAAAGCATCTTTGCCCCCCCCCTCCACCCAAAGCCGATATTCGAATATGATGATTTAATAAATTGGCAGAAACTAAGTGTAGGGTTATAAATTAGAGTACTGCAACATTTCGCCCTTTTCCCCTAAATGTTAAAAAATTATTAGATCTGACCTCGTGGCTCGACTTTTCGATGTATTTATTTTGTTTCTCTAATCTGTTTTTCTATAAAAAAAAATTTTATCATTAGGACTGTGTCTATCTTACAATATTTTCCTATAAAACTACATAACCCACCCGATATTAAAATTGATTTTACCACACCATCCATATCTTTGAATCTATGTCAAAAAATGGTTTTTATGACTTTTATTCTTGAAAAAGTTAATTTAAAAAAAAAAAATCTCATTTAAAATATTGGTATATTAAAAATTGGCTCTCAAGACTAAATTTAAAACAGGATTTGTTGTTTCGAAAATTATATTATCGTCTGCCTTCTTATTTCTTTAATTTTCTAAAGATTCCTTCGATTATAAGTGAGTTATTTAATATTACATTTTTGTATAATATTACAAAGCGAAGAATAAAAAAAGTAATGAAAAAGCAACAGAGTTGTTAAAAGATACTTTTTAAATGGATCTAGATACAGATACATCGTCTAAAATAATATCTAGATACAGATACCACATTTTTATATCTAGATACAGGATCTAGATACTTTAACAACTCTGAAAAGCACTATTTGCGTTTTTTTTTAAAATGGTTGCTAACGCCAAACGGTAATTTCACAAATTTGCACGAGGCCATTTGAAAGACATTATTGACGCTTGCAACGTTTTGTTCGCACTATTAGCCATTTTTAAAGATCGGCTCGAAATGAGCCGTTTCGCAACACTACACATAAACCAAAAGACGACGAATATATCGAATCGGTTTTTGAAAATATTGGCCCGACCCTATATTTTTAAAAACCGAAATATCGGTTTATTAATTAATTTATTTTTTTGCGTTAATAGATAATTCGGATAAATTTTACAAAAATAAATATGATTCGAGGAAAATAATTAGGAAAATTAAAGGAAAACTTATCAATTTTTTATCCTGTTACATCAAATGTAAAAAAAAAATGAAATACAGAAGAATATAATTATGTCAGAATTTCGAAGCGTTTTATTTTTCTATCTTTTTTTAAAAAAAATGAGGCTAGCAATAGAAAGATTTTTCTTCGATTTCTGGCCCTTCTCTCTCTAACTCCCGATTATTAAAGAAAAATTTGAATATTTAAAAAAAAAATGGGATTGGGCTCTTAGGCCGTGATTTGGCCTTGCGGGAACTCTATTTTATTTCCGATTTTCTTGATTTTTGAGTATATTTCCTTTATCGACATGCGTAAATTTTAAATACGCCTTTAAAATTTTCATTTTTGAGTAATTAATTAGCTTAATCTTTAAATATTTGATAAGTTAATAGGTAACTAGTAATAAATCTACAATCATCACGTGTTGATTCGTAATAAATAAATTTTTATCATATTACTGAAGGCGAGTTTCTCTTTTTTTTCTAGAAGTACCTACCCTAACCTATTTATCTTCTGAGCTTTTCAGAGGGGGGGGTGGGATTATTTTAATGGAATGCCACCAATCATTCCATTCCGGGTGTTACTACAAACCCTATCCGATAATTTATATTGATTTTTTATTTACCACCTAACTATTAACTTACTTAATATACGCTATTTTTATAAATGATAAATTTTAGACGAACTAATATATATATTTTTTTTTAAAAAATAAAAAATAAATCTTTTACAGATTTTACTTGTGGAGGAGAAATGGATGAAGATAGCAAATTCTCCCTGCTTAAGGATTTAGATATTTTGTCTTGTAAGATTTAAATGATTTTATACAATTTTATTTATTGCAACTCACCCTAAAACAAAAATAACAATGGCAACTTTGAATATCTAAGGGCCACGCATCCAAATGACCGAGAAAAAAAAATATAATTTATAAAACTACCAGCAGGCAAGTATTTAATAACGCGATATACGCCATAATTTTTAATCGTAACACATTTCAAAATTTTCGTAATATTTTCAAAGCTTTTAAATTAGGTTTTTTTTAAAAAAAAGTTTTAAATTTTGCGAAACTTTTGAAAATATGTATATTGGGTATAGCCTAAAAAAAAGAAGAAGAAATCACTGCCTTATTTCTTATTCCTATTTTTCCCATTTGGTGTAATTGTTAATGACTCACATTAGGGACCAGGAATAAAGAGCGTGTTGCGTTCTTGTTGCATTTGGCGTTCCCGTCAAAAAAAAATATGCCAGGTTCTGAAAGCGTTCCTTACAAAGAAAATAATCTAATTCCATTTCTACATAAATATATTCATCAATCCTTTTATAATATATATTATTTATTACATCTATGAGAGTATAAATAATGTTTTTACGCGATGGGGTTTAGTATAAATTTGATCGTCGAATGTCGATAAATATTAATTGGGTAACAAAATTATCCAGAAATATGTATATGTGTTAGCCGCATTGTGTTTTTTTTTCGTCTGCTAAAATATATTTCAAAGCATGTTTAGAATTACCTATCTTATGGAACTTAGACAATTTTGCCATTGGATTAGTCTTGGAATCATTTATAAATTTATATTTAAAAAAAAAATCTATGGAAAAAAAACGAATATAAATTATTTTAAGTTTCAAAAGTTCATGGCAAAGTTGTCTGAAATTCATAGATTAGGTATTCCAAACATGGATGGAATCCATTTCTGGTAATATCCGATTTTTAAATTTAAAAATAACAAACTCGCTTCAAAATATGATTTAAAGTTGAAAAAAAAATAACACATTGCCGCTAACATATATCTTGTTATAAAAGTTTTTTATAAAATTTATTATTGTAAAATTTAATACATTTGTTTGGGTTATTTTGTGAAATTATTTTTTTTTGCCCGGATTAATTTTTTTTTGTAAACCTACGCGTATTTTTTTTTGACTTTGAAATAAAAGACTCAACGTTAGTCTTGAAAAAATTATTAATATTTTTTTCGAAGTTAAGAATTTATATTAAGAAATTCATAATATTCAGAGAGAAGTAATTCAGTGGATCGGCACAACAGCAAAATGTATTATAATATTTAATTTTATAAAAACAAGTTAAAATTATTTTAAATTTTAACTTTTTTAAAAAAAAATGTTTTGTAATTCTTAAATAAAATAAAATCGCACAATAATAAATAATGAAATGATAAAATATTGCCCTGCCATGGCACGGGAATCAAAGAAAGAAAAGAATGAATATTTAATGAATGAGCCGCCATATCTATCATGATTTTCGTTAAGATTATTCCCATTAGCGTCCCATAATCTTTACCCGAGTTCCCAAAATAAATTATAATTTTTTTAGGCTATTACAAAAGTAAATGAGATAGAATATCGAGATGGAGACTTGGTCAGAAATCAGAAGATATAATTACTTTTTTGATTTTTCCAAATTCCATTATTTTAATTTTCTTTAAAATAAAAAAAAAGCTGACATTTTATAGGCTTTTGTCTATTATATTTACTATTTTGTTTTTCTTGCTACCAAAAGCCGGCACTCCCGTTTTCCTGTCTTACCAGCGATACAAGAATGTCCCCTTCTTTGAAGGCTTCCTTTATAAATGCGTCGGTTCGAACGTGTATTTTTGCCGAATCGCTACCTGCTCTGGGAGGGCTTATCTGAAAGAGACCAACCAGGAGCTATGTGTGCTAAGGGGTCACAATCACGAAAAGATGGAAAGTGAGGCCGACGCTATTAAATATCTGCAGGATTGTATCAAGGCAGAACAACCTCAAGATGGCGATACGATTGGTAAATGTTATTTTTTTTTCAAATTATAAACATTCGTAGGAACAAATTTTGTGGTTTGGGGATCAAAATAATTTTAACTCGTAATTGACATTCCATCAACATAATTCTACCTAAATAAATTATGGCAAATTATGTTCCTGAACGCCGAAAAATGTTATCTTTTTTTAGTTAACACATTTCTTTGATGATTAGAGTTAGAAATGGTTATGCTACCACAAATAAGGATAAGCTTATCAATTTAGAGCTTGTTGGAAACTGTTCTTTGGGTTGGTCATTTTTGTAATATTTATGGAATATAGTCATAATAATCGAGTTATTAAGGTCATTCGGTATGGTAAGGCCTCGCAAATTCTTTTCCTTATTTGTTTGGTCAGAGCCAACCCCTGCCTGATTTTAAATGGGTCGAGTCCAGTATGGAACTTTTAATAGGAAATAAATATGTAAATTAATCACATTTAATATAGATAAGTTAAAAAATCATTAATTTATTTGTTCTAAATCCCAATAAAAAGTTATTTTATACTTAAACTTACTCGCGAACACAAATATCGCTCTTCACAGGTAAGCGATTGCGCCAATCGCGCGATTATATATTTAGTGGGCTAAGAAAGACAAAAATGAAATAAATTTTAGCTGAATATTTCGAATTATAAGATCTTCTTATATAGAGGAACGTGACATAGCTTATTCCTCAAATTATTACCTCGAGGAGTGATGCACCCACATAAGATATACCCACTTATTAGAGACGTGCATGCAATGGCATCCGGGTTCATCTTAATTATCTTAAAACTAAATGGGGAAAAAACAGATAACCCGTTTATAGATGAGGTGCGAATATTAAAAAGTTTGTAATTTAATCATATAAATAACCGACCCTATTTTAAAAAAAAATAATGTAAAGATGCGGACAATAGCGAAACCTCTTCGGAAAAATTTTCCAACGGTGACATTGTCAGCCAATCCATTCTCAGGGATATCGAAATTTTATCATGTATTACATATATATATATTTATAAAAATATCAATTATATATATTTTTTGACTTTTCGGAAGAATTAAATACAATTTCCTGTCAAAAAACCAAAAATAAAAGCGGGTACTCCATCCTTCTTATCCCACAAGAAGCTCAGGAGGATTCCCTTTTTCGAAGGCTACCTTTACAAGAACATCAGCTCGGGCGTTTACTTTTGCCGGGACCCTTCTTGCCCAGCTCGAGCTTACATGAAAGACCTTAATCAAGAATTTTGCGTTCTCCGCGCCCATAACCACGTCAAGTTCGAAAGCGAAGTCGACGCGATTACCTATTTAGACCAACCTCAAAGGCAATACAAGAGCGTCATGTCAAGTAAATAGTACCTTGTTGTTTCTCCTTTTAATATTTTTTAAAATATGTACCTGACGTGATGTCCTGTTTGAAAATTGATGTATTGGCATTAGTACCGTTTGTACAATTTACTACACATGCTAAGACACTTTTCTCGATCTTGTAACGATTAAAGAGAACGAAAAAATTTATGTAACCTTTTTTTTAAATCAAATTTTTGATTATATTTGGTTAAACATATAGATGATAGATAATATCTTTACTAGGTTTAATAATTGAAAAATATAATTTTACATTATTTAATATATTTTGAAAATACAAAATATAAGTTTGAAAAACACAAAAAGATTATTTGGCCCATTCTAAAATGACCACAAAAAAAATACGGGAAATTATATCCTAATATTACTTAAATATTTCGTGACAAACTTTGTATTGATATTTCGTGACAAACTTTGTATTGGCCGACTTCCAATTTTAACTTATATACAATTGGCCAATGCCTAAAATTTATTAATTAACCATGATAAATTTTTTTTAAAAAGATAAAAAAACAATTGATCTACAAATTACTTAGTAGATGTGAAAGAAGGTGTTTTTTTTTCTCTTCACGTTATAGGATGTAAAAGAATGCTATTTGATTGCAATATCGATGTCGAATATTATTTGCTAGGTTCCCATATCCACGAAATTAATAATTTGGAATGTATACATAACGGGGGGCCAAAAACTAGAGAGATTTTTTATCTCGGATTTGATTTTGGACTCCTTCTCCATGGCATAATTATTTTCAGCCCAGTTCGGTTGAAAGCAGGTTTAGCAAAAAATGGCCTCGGTTCGGGTTGAAGAATGTGAAAGAAATATGACATGCTTAATTTAGGAATATTTTAGGGATGTACCGATATTTTATATCGGATCGGGCCGATATTTCGCCCATTTTAAAATATCGGTTATCGGCAAATATTATAAAATTTTCCGATCCGATATAAAATGGCGCTTTTAACAAAATTTAAAAAAAGTTATATCTAAAAATCCATTTATTTTTATAAATAAAATCGGAATATATTTTTATGCTTAATTATTTTAATAGTAATAATTAGTTAATAAACATTCTGCAATATAGTTATTTTTTTTCGCATTCTGTTTAAAAAAGTGTTCATTAATCTCTTCAGAATCTGTTTTTAGTGATACTAGTGATATTAACAGTCCCCATCACCGCAGACCGATCTCTGATAAATTGGAAATTTTGGTATTTCTAAAAAGAAATCTTCGATAAATTAATTTTATATATTAATTTCAAATTTCAATATATTTGTTTATTACTAATTATGTAAATAGATTAATGTTATTACTTATTATATAAATAATTGCAATTGAATTGAATATAAACTATAACTGATCATTATAATATATTTAAATGACATATGTTATGGTATAGTAAAATTATAGATGTTGTACTAATAAAAAGAATATTAAAAATTAAAACCGGTATCTTTACAGAATACAAAATTAGATATGATATCGGATCGGTTATCGGCCGATATCAATTAAATATCTGGAATATCGGATCGGATCGGCCTCCAAAAAGTGGTATCGGTACACCCCTAGTTTTGCCCATAACCGATTAAATTAAATAATCTAATTACCCTAAGCCCGATTGATTCAACTGATTAAGCTTCGTATGGGGGGGGGGGGTTATAACGCCAATTCATCAGAGTTTGGGTGGTCTCGATATCGTGGCCCATAATGTGCATATTAATCCTTTTTTTTATTTATATATAATATATATTTTAGCTATCGATATGACCGTGCCCGACTTTTTCCATACACCTGAAAGTAACGCCATTATTTATATTTTAATTTTATGCCATTTATCTCGATACCAAAAACGTTCCATCATAATTTTAAAAATGAGGAATATTCCAAAATATATTGAATTCGAACTTTACGTAAATGATCGAAAAGGACAGAAAAAAAGAGAATGATATAAATTAAGAAAGAATTCTTTCTTTTGAAAGAAAGAAAATAGCACTAGTTTAAGGTTAACGAGTGAGATGCACCATCTGGAGAATGGATGGATTATTTTTAATATTTTTTATTGGTGATGTAACCTTGAAGATGATATACCCGGTCTGGTATACGTACCTTCGGCCAAATGCGGCTTGATTCCCTATTACGAAGGTCACTTGTATCTCGTTGATAGGCATCAGGGCAAGAATCTCTACCTGAGCTGTAGGAAGGACAAATGCCCAGCTCGCGCCATATTGACCAAAACCTGCATCAAAGGGCAGTATAGAAACCATAATCATCCACCGCAGAGGCATGAATTTTTGGCCCTAGAAACTAGGTTTAATACTTATTCTTTTTTCAAAAGAACCTATCATTAATAATTTTTATAGCCATAAGGATTAAATTATTTAAATTCATTTTGCTAATATTGAGAAATAAAAGCTAATCATTTTAAACCTATCAGGTACAAACTTAAGCAAGCCATCATAGCCAATCCTGACCGGCACCCTCGCCAAACATATGTGGAATTTATCAACAAAAGGCTACTAGAAATAGAAGAAGAGGAAAAAGAACTCATGCTCAAGGAGGCTCCTTACAATAATCCCAATTTGGATACGACGACCGAACCCGAAAATTCTACCTTCTTTGCTAATAAATATCACAGGGCCTTCCCCACTTATCGGAGCGTGGAGAGGTTCATGAAGAACGTTAGGAAAGCTATTAAGAACAATAAAGCGAATCGATCTCTACCGACTTTGCAAACGCTTCCCCACCCGCTGGCGGCAACGGCATCTACCCATATGGATTCCTTCACTACGCTGCTCAACGATGAGTCCATGATGGATGATACATTAGAAACAATTTGTAATAGCGTCTGTAATTAAAAACTGAAGAAGTATTTCCAGGGTTTTTCATAAGAGGATGAAATTCACTTGATTTATCATTTATTGGAATGGTTTGATTTTGTAAGATATATTTATTGCTTCTTGCTTGTCGATTATCAAACGTTTATGGATGAATTGGAAACCATCAATTAATCGTAACTTGTATATAAACCCAAAAAATCGAATCATTTGATTGAATAAATTCTTAACTTAACTACGTTTTGGGTGGGATAAAAGATTATTTTATATATTTTATTTGGCTGATTTTTCTTAAAACATGATATAGTGAATATTTTCTATTATATGTATTACAACAATTTTTTTTTATTTATGGATTTTTTTAAAATATTATTTTTTTTTCCATTCACTAAATAATAAAGAGAAATATATTTGTAAAACAAAAGCTTATTTAAAAGTTATATATTCTCCCAATTATTTTAATATCATTTATTTAATTTTTTTTGTGCATTTTATGATTCAATTTAAATATTTCTACGAATAAATCATATTATATTATATACTATTTAAATTGTAATTTATGAAATAAATATATGCTGTGTATGGTAAACTACATTTTAGATATAATAAAAAGTTGAAAGGTATCTAATCTCATTTCTATAAATCCTTATAAAACGGACTAGAAAAATTGCATATTTTGACAATATCGATAAAATAATTAAATAATGTGTCATTAATATTTACCATTTTTTCCCCCGGTGTTAATGTCATAAAGTTTAAGAATCCAAATCTTTTATAGGATACTTTTTAACAACTTCTCTATAATTTCCTTCAGAGCCTTGCACAAACGTGTCTACCTTAATTCTATCCTAATTCGAACTGGACCGGGGCTATTAATTGTATTTTACCTTAAATGAGCGGTAAGATAGGAAAAAAAATAACGCGATTGGTTGGGTCGGCATAGCTCCCTCTTTTTTGAAAGATTATTATATTTCTATATTAATTAATATTTTTTATTATAGAGTTTAAACATATATTTTTTTTTGTTTGATACTTTATTTTAAAATAAAAATTTAAAAAAAACAAATAAGGATATATATCAAAAATTAAATTTAAAAAAAAATATATCTATAAAAATCCATGAAGAAAAACAAAAAAAGAACTAAGAGAAAAAAAATATTAAAAAAAATTCATATCATCCTAGAAAGGAGTGAACGCTTAAAAAATTAAACAGGCGGATTTCTGCTGACGAGATCCCCTGAGATCTGTCATTTTTTTTCCTATGATTTTACTGAAATTCAGGGCCTTACTTCCAAACATGCCTAGGGTATTGTAAGTTTTTTCATTAAATTTACCTAATATGGTATTTAAAAAAAAGGAAAAGCATATACATATTTTTTTTTCAAGACAAAATTAATAATGGCGATAAATATAATTTAGGAGAACAAAGGGATAAAGATTTAAAAAGATGTTTTAAAAGGAAAATAGTAAAGAGAAAGTAGAAAGGAAGGAAAGTATAAGGTGGCATGGATTATTTGATAGAAGAAATAGAGATTAGGTGTTTGAATGAATAATCGTGTTATAAAGCCTTTATCCTAAAAAAGAGGATTCTTAGCCTTATAAGTCTTTTCGAGAATCCGTCTCCCCAATTCTTTCAAAAAGTAGTAAAATGGAGTAGGCGATGAGTGTGGATGACTAAGGAAAGGATCGATAGAACTGTATTAGTTGATTTTCCGGGTTGACAAAAATATCGATGTGGTTGGATGGTGCATTTGGGTCAATGCAGGTAAGTCCCAAACCAGAAGTTGACCTCTTTACCAAGGGATTAAGGGCATTTCCACCAGGACGTTTCCCATTGATTCTGTAAATGAAGTTTAATTCAAGTCTAAAGGGAATGCTTGTAGATTTAAGTGCACTCAAAATAATGTTACATATCTACCCTGGTTTCATAATGCTAACATTAGTAAGGAGGTAGAACAATTTCATTGTTGAGCCGTAATCTAATGGCAAATCTTAGCTTATCTGCCAAAAGCAGAAAATCTTAGAGACTATTTTATGGGTATGGTTTCCAGAAACTCATAATCGGATACTTGATTCAAGTGGTGAAAAACTGTGATATCGTCATCGTAAATACTCAATTTTAGAAAAGCTACGGAGCCTTTGAATTATTTATGCCAGCTATTACCTAATAAATTATTCATTTTTTAGTCATTTCTTAAAAAATATATTGGTAATATATATGCAGTCGTCGGGATGGCCTAGTGGTGCTGTATGCTTGGAAACTAAAAATCCCAGCTGGTAAGGAACTATAAATTTTCAGGTTTTTCTTCAATGACGGATGTGTATAGACATATGTTAAGATGATTTTCTGAGCTGAGAAATGCCACCCCCGGTCACTGACAGGCTTGAACAGCCGGGCGCTAGGATACTTGTTCAATAAAACAAATAAGATAGCCAACGGAACTCATGGGTCATTCAAGGATGATAATGATCTCTTGGCCAGCGCTAGAATAATGGTGACCTCAGGGACGGTTCAAGCACAATGTCTACTAAGGTACAATGGGCTTGATAACGATACTTCTGTGGGAGATCGATCAGGATTGATATTCCGGTGGGATATCTGTCGATATTGATACTTCGGTGTGAGATCAAGATACAATGGCCTCGATAGCGATACTCCGGTGAGAGATCCAAATGGAATCGAGAATACAGAAATATAAATAAGATAAAAATAGATAGCATGAGTAATAAATTGGAGAGATATTGAAGGAGCTCACCACCAGTAAAGGTGAAAACTAAAAAGAAAAAAAATATATATTGATACTTTTTATATGGATTTTTTATTTTAAATAATAAAAGTTATTAGAAATTAAAAAATAAATCTAAATTTCTTGAAGATATTTTTAAGTCGAAAATAAAGTAAAATTGTCTTACTTATTTATTACACATTTTATATCTTTATTAATAAAAATTATATTAATAATAATAAACTTGTTTTCGAATAATATACAAGCCTTTTAGAGCTTTACCAGGTTAAAAATTATATTGTTTTTTTGGGTTCGTCCCCATGCTTTCGAACCATCTTAGATCTGGTCTAACAGGTGATATTTATAACTCACGACCTGCAGACACCCACCGTGCCGGTCCTTATATTACAAATCCAAATATATTAGCTATAAAATTCAAAAATATATTCAAAAAATCCGGGCCGGATCACGCAAATGGTACCTCTGCAGGTCTCCGCTATAACTTATTTTATATTATATAAATAAATCGGATAAGATAATATTAAATAATTACTTATTCAATCTTCATTGTAGTAATACGTACAACTTTATAGTATTTTTGACCCCATATTTTAGAACTATCGAGAATAAAAACGTAACTAGATTTTTAGTATAGCAAAAAAAATTTAGAGGGACTCAAATGGGGCAAGCCAATAATTCAATCAGCAAATAAAAATTTATAAATTCTATAAAAAAAATAAATTGAATATTTCTCGATTTTTGCAATTACTTTTTTTGGTAATAAACAACTTGATATTTTTATGCATAAATTTATTTTTTTTAGAAATTCGTTTCGATTTCTGAAATTTGAAGAATCTGTTATTGCAAATAACAAAAATCTACCTTTGAAGAATTTACTCTCCTTCTTAAACTTTGCCAATATCTCCTCAATTTGGGGCAACGGATACCTTGCACCTATGAAGGTTTATGAGTCTACAACTTTTAACCCGGAGATTTCTTAAGATTTCTAGGAACCGATTGAAGCAAAAGTGCATGTAATTTATATATATTATATATATACTTTTTTCATTTTTAAATCGTTGGCTTCTTCAATGCTAATTTAGACGAGAACACTATTGAAGTTATATATATATATATATATATGTTAGCGTCAATGTGGGGTTTCCGTCAATGTTATTTATGCAACTTTAAATCATTTTTTGAGCTGATTTTAATATATTTATAAATCGGATGTTACCAGAAATATATTCTATCATGTTTGGAATAACCTATCTTATGAATTGTAGACAATTTTGCCGTTACCTGTCATTTATAATTTATATAAATAGTTTAAAAATGATAGAATATATATCCGGCAAAATCAGATTTTTTTAAATTTAAAAAAACGCGATCAAAAAATGATTTAAAATTGTAAAAATAACACAAATATGTTTCATTTTAGGGGTTTTATTGCTACAAATTTGTAAATGGAATTAGAAATAACGTGTTTAAATTAAAATATTAGGTTCCATCATCATACCGTATATTGAAATGCCTTTAAATTTTAACTCTTATCATCATAAAAAAACCGACAATAATTGCAATAATATAAAAGGGTCGTTTCGTTACATCCTTTTTCCTATTTCTTTCCTACTACTTTATAACAAAAGAATAAATGTGCAAGAAAATAAATTACGATTACGAGTTTCATTAAAACTGCTTATATTACTTAAATTAAACCAAAAATTTTTCTTCTTTCAAACCTTAAATGAGTTTTTATAGGTGCGTGTGAATCATAAAACCGATATTTTTAAATAATTAGCGATTAAACATTTAAGGTTAGTGCGGCACGGACTAGCTCTTAAAAACGTTTGAAAAAGGCAAATTCAGGCTGGCCCATAAATTTGCCCGACTTAAAAAATAATATATATTAATTTTTTTTTAGATTTTGCCTAACTATGATCGTAAATTCGACCCTTATCCTGATTGGTCCATTGTAAATTGATTATATCGTTAAATATTGTTAAAATAACTACTTGGAATTATCGGATATTTTATATAAACGCATAAATAGGTATATTTACCCGCATAAAAATTGGTATTCATAAGGATGTCGTCCATTTTGACAGTAATGGTACGAAAATTTCATCAAAATCTTACGGTCAAAGGAGACTCTCCCATTTATTTTTATGTAGTAAAATTTTAAAAGACACAAATTTGCCTGATTCCAAGCCCTAAGGACTCAGCCTGTAAAAATATTTTGCACAAGATTCGTAATAACATTTATACTGGCCAACATGTTTGATAAATGTGAAATATGAATGAACATATATAAATAATAAGACATTTAATCCAAATTTTCATATAATTAATTTATGTAAAATTGTGGGATATAAATTTTGTGTATATATATAAAAAAAAAACATTTATCAAAAATGAAAAAAAAATTGTACACCACCAAATTTTATCTTGTCATCATTTTCAAAAAAAGTCATCAAAAACAGGTGAGTATTAGAGTGACAGTTCTTGTCGCTATAGAAAATGAAAAATGAGTGATAAAATATTGTAATAATATTATTATTTTTTTCTCTATAAAATTTGACTAGTAAAATTTATGAAAAAAAAATGGGTCTACTAAAAATGTTAAATCAATAAATACTTGAAATACAAATTATAATATAATCAGTTTTAAATACAACAAACATAATATCACAATAAATTATTTGTGGTATACGAAACAAACTAAACTTATATTAAATTTAATTTATGAATAGGGAATACAAATAACAAGTTAGGGAAATACAAATATTCAATTCAATTTTTAATGAATAAAAAAATAATCCCTTTTTCACAACTTGGGAATCAAACCGGATATGATAAGGGTAAATGAAGCGAATTTGAGTAGTGTGAATATGTAAACCGCGTGTGGCCACGTAGGTAAAACGGGAGACGGCGAAAAGAAATATAAAAGACCCACGGTTACCGACAAAATCAGGCCCACGATGTGACGAATCAGCTGATAACTTTGATGGGGCGAGATTCTTCGATCATTCACCAAATCCTGGTAACTGAATAACGATTTATTTATGTTCAATAGGTTGGCGCGAAAATGTTTGAAAGGAAAATTGTCGAAACGTTCCCAGATGGAGCCATATTTTTCTAGAACGATTAATTTTTTTCAAAAGGGTTTAACTAGTTATCAAAGACATATAATAATACCTTGACTGACGATGCATTCATAATAATGTATTTGAAAGCGACTTTGAACGCAAATCAGCTGGACCCGCCATTTTGGTGACCCATATAGTAATTATTATCAGTTAAAAATTATTGTTAAATTGATAACTTGCTTCCTTATTATCTCGATGATCAGACGAATCTTTAATAAAGTTTGCGTCAGAACATAGAAATAAATTGAGCCTTTCGTTTAAAATTTTTAATAATGATATGGGTAATCAAAATGGCGTACCCAGATGTTTTCCATTGATGTACACATTTTAATTTTTTTTTTTTTAAAAAATAGTCCCAGTTTTGTAATTAAAAATAATTTTTAGGCCAGCTTTTAAAATATAAAGCACTACGGGTCTGAAAATCTCGGGAAAAATCTTATTTCTTTAATTTCGACAGAAGGATAAATTATCTATGTTTAAGGGCAAATTTCATCAAATTTTTAATGGACAGGGTCCAAGGTTAGAGGCACATTCTCAAAGTTGGAGATGCAAAATTCGAACTTTCCAACATGAAACGATAAAAATAAAAAAATATGACGTCATAATAACGTCATTTCCATTTAAGCAAACGATAATAAACCAAAATGGTTTTGGGGTAGAGATGATTTTATTCGATTAAAATTTTAAGACATTCAAAAAATAATAATAATAAGGAGCAGAAAGGTTCTAGAAGGAATTTCTTAAGAGGAACTGATCTATCGCAGCCTTGAATCGATTGATTGCAACAAAAAATTGATGCTATCGAATCAACAAAAAAAACAATATGGTGTTGGAAGACCTAGAAAATATTGATTCTTGAAACATTCGTATTGAAGCCAAGAAGACTCACTTAGCACCTATAAAACAATCCGTCAAATATCCTGAGAAACTGGTAAGGGAACTTGCTGCAGCTAAAATGTTTTTAAAAAAACCAGCCCAGGACATAACCGATGCGGATAAGATTGCCCGTCTGGTACGAAAACAACTTCTACGAAAATACCATTAGAGGTTAGTTCATTTCATATGGTTCACGGGTTAAAAGCTATTTACACCAACTCCACCGATAAATCTGAAAAGTGATGGTGTGTGGGTTGCAGTTTCAGTGAGAAAAAAGACGAGTTGCAATCAATTGACTGCTTCATACTCGTTCAAATTTCTCTATATTCGGCATGATTTCAGTAAGGGTATCAGGTATTGGCTGCCCAGAGCTCATCATTAATAATGGTGCTTATTATCGTGGTGTTTAATTCAGTGAGCCACTTATTGCCTATTATTAAAGAATGTTCGACAGTGAATTTTTCATATTCCAGCAGGACAAGTGCTCCAGCTGACCGAGCCAGAGAAACTGAGGATCTGCTTACAAGAGACACTTCAGATTTTATATTACCCAATCTTTAGACCCACTCCACTCCCCCAATATCTCCCTGATCTCAATCTGGTCTACTACAAGAAGGTGTTTATCAAACTCGCATACTCGACGTTGGCCATCTCAAACAGTGGCTTGTGGAGAAATGAAATCGTTTTGATCAAAGAATTGTTGGTTGTGCAATCTGTGAATGGCGAGATCGCTTTAGAGCATGTATTTGAGCTAATAGGTAGCATTTTTGATTTTAAGAAAAACATCTGATTCTAATTAATCTTCAAATGTTGATATTTTCATGTTGCCGAAGTACTAAGTTTAATATAAAAAAAATAGAAAATTAATCTTTTACATATTGGAAAAGTTCGAATCATGTTTATCCAACTTTCAGTCCTTTTGGGAGAGAGTGTAAATGTGAATATGTCGTTTTGGGACATATGGGGATTGACCTTCTGCCAATTTTAAATCGGAAAATGTATTCTAGCATTTGCGGAAGTACCCACACTGTGAATTTCGTGTAATTTTGTCGCGAACTTTAGAACTGCTCTTATTTTAAAAATTAAATTTTTTTTTATATAAATAAGAAAAAATAAGATAGAAAGATTTTCGGGGAAATTTATTTGAAATTCACAGTTGCGGGTAATCTGCAGCAGAGGTCTGCAATGGGTGTCCGCCCGCCCTTTCTTGGGACAGGCGTGGGCGGGTTTCCTAAAATATTTTAAACATTGGGCGGGTTAAAAAATATTTTTGAAGTAATGGGCGGGCTTTGGTTAAAATTCCGCCCATTTCAGACGTCTAATTTGCACATTCTGGAATACATTTCGGATCAAATCCAATGGTTTAAATCTAAAAAAATTTCAATATAACAAAACGAAATATGCAGTTGTTAAAGGATCTAGATACTAGTATCTAGATATAAAAATGTGGTATCTGTATCTGTATTTAGATAGATTTTTGATTAAAATATCTGTATCTAGATAATATTTCAGACGATGTATCTGTATCTAGATCCATTTAAAAAGTATCTTTTAACAACTCTGAAAATATGTAACTTTTTATTCAATTAGAATATTGTCATTTAGATCAGATACACGTGGGGGTATAGGCTTATATTATCAGGCCCGGCCATTAAATTAGCTCGGCGCAGCTATTTTTCAAAATTTTTTTTTAGGCCCTACTCAGAATGGCTTAGGACCGGGTCTGCAGGTGCCGGATTTCTTATACGATTGAGAATTAAAAAAATATTATGGTTAATATTAATATTTAAAAAGTTAACAATTTTTTAAACATGAAAAATATCCCGCCATTAATACCTAATTGATATTCCTTTAAAAACATTTATCCTTAACACATACTTCTCCTGTAGGAATGCTCATTTACGTGATTGCCATTGTTTTTATACATCCTATAATTTTGGTCAAGAATATCATTTTCTTTCTCCTCTTGTTCAAGGTGCCCATTTTTTCCAACATCCTCGCACATTTTGTAAGAGTTAGTAAGACAACCACTTTTGTTGGTTACGTTCAGTAAAGATGAAATGCATAGTCCCAACAAGGTGCCAACGCTCCTGGCCAAAGATACCAGAGGATTGGTGTTAAAATTGACAAAACTCCTCAGGGCACAGTACTTGAAAGCCATGTGAATACTGTGGTCGGGTTTCAAATCGAGCAAATGCAAGGAATGGTAAAGAACTAGGCCCGACAAAGGTAATAAAGCGCAAGTGGTTAGGCGGGGGCAGTAAAAGAAAGTAGCAATGTACCAGGCTGCTATACCTAAAGATAAATGTGGATGGAAGAACATTTAGTATAATCCTCTGAGAAAACATAATCTTATCACAATTTTTTTAAATATTGTATTGATTAATTTATATTAAAAGTGATGAATAGCTGTCAAAATTGCAATATTTTGTTCAATTAAACAATATAGTTATATTCAATTTTTTAACCATTTTACCCCGATACTTAGCCACTTTAAACTGAGTATGGGGTAAAATGGAGAAAAGTACACACTTCACATAATCTAAGATAAAATAGAACTACACGTTTTTTTTTTATTTTGTAGATGAGGGATTTGGCTACTTATAAAAATATAATTTTGTTCAGTTTTGTTAATGTTACAAGGTATTATAGTAAAAATGCAATACCAATAGTTTCACCCTGGTTTCGCCTATCTAGATAGATTTTAATGTATCTTCCATTGTAAGGATTTGCAAAGCTGCACCTGACTCATGAGTGGGGAATTTTTTTTAAATATTAAAGCAGGCCAGGATGGGTAATTTAAAAAAAAAATTACAATGGGTAATGCAAAAAAATTTAAGTAGGTACAAAAAGCTTATTCATTTTTATTGCTTTCTAACTAAAATATGAGATCTATAAATAATAAAGTAAATTCACAAAACTAAACACTTTATTTATGGTATGATATAATTGACTTATAAAATGATTGTTTGTAGAAATAGATAACAATAAAGTGAGCAAAAAAGTGATGGCAATAAAATTCATACAAATAAATTTAATGAGCTGGGATGAACTTTTCATAAAACCTACAAAGGCTGGATAATTTTTTTTTAAAATTATAATGGGTGTGGGTAGGGTCAGGGCTGCCAAATTTTTTTTAGGTCAAGCTTCAATATGGGAAAAAATTCTAATGAACCAAAGTGGGACAGGCTTTGTAGACCTGAAATCCAAGGGTGTCAGAAGAGTGGAGCAAAGGGTTGTTGAACAATCATAGATTAAATTTGAATAACCTAAATTTAAAAAAAAAATTGCACAAAATCTTTTAATTTAGCCCCTAAATTTATTTGAAAAAAATCTTTGAGAACTCTAATTTTTTATAAAATAACCCTGATATGGGCATTGACACTGACACCTAACCTGACCATATCGACATTGTCATACATTTTAAAATAATATCTTTTAAGAACTCTAACTTAATTTTAATGGAATATAAATAAAATCCATATAATTATGATGAAAGAATATATATGATTAATTACCTCCTATCATCCCAAATAATAATTGATGAGGAAAATGAGCAGCTATGTATAAACGTGAAAGTCCAATTCCAACTAATATCATAGCAAATAAGGTATATGCTATTAATCTGGATTCATTTATATAATATATGCAACATATTACACATTTGTTTTTTTTAAATATATATATATATAGAAATATATAAAGATGGATATAAACCAAATTTATATCAAAAGTACAGAAGATTTATCACCTGAAATATTGTCTTTTACCAGGAGAACAAAAATTGGTACTTTTATAGCATAAATAATAAACTAAACCTAAATAAACTGCCGTTGATACCATCATATGACCAGAAGGGTTTCCTTTAATTTAAAATAATAAAAAGAGATATTTATTGAAATAACCTGGTCCTGTTTCACAAGTTATTGGAAAATGCCTAAGGTGTGGAAATATACTAGTAGCTTTTACATAATAATCTGTAACATGAACCCACCAATAAGGCCTAGGGCTTCGTAAAACCCTTTGTATTAAATTAGATTTTAAAAAAAAATTAAAAGGTTACCATTTAATCATAAAATTTATCCAATCCGCAAAAATAGTCAGCCAAACAATATACACACCCAAAATTTTATTAAAAACATAAAGTATAGGAAAATACACAAAAATTATTAATTTTGCATCACCAAGATGAGAAAAAAATAGTAAAAATTTATCATTATTGTGGAAATAATTTTGTAAAGAGTATATAAATGCCGTTTCTTTTGCTAAAATATGTTCCATCATTTCACATAGATAAATAAATGAACATATGGCAATTCAGATTATAAATATTAAAAAAATATTTAAAAATAAGCGGTAGAAATATATAATACTTTAAAATATAATTTTAAGCAAAAATTCAATTTGTCAAGCAAAACTAAATTTAAAAATATACTGTTGACGAAGAGGGACCCGGTTTCTCCTCGGGGCAAAAGTCCTAGAAACAGAATCCTCCAAATAATGTTCACTGCAACTCGAACAGGTTCATCATCAAATATACTTTAACGTTAACTTATTTTTAGCCCCAGTTCTCTATTCATAGATATTATAATCGGTGGTGTTTAAATGTTAACAATGTTAATTTCTATCATTTAATCCAAACTTGGCGCAGCATTTCAAAGTAGAAGGCTAATATCCAATGTAATCCATATAAAGAATTCTCGTCGCGTTGGTTATAATTACTTGTAATATCTTTGATCTAGCTCCTCCGATTTATACAAGAACCTTTGTCTTTGCTTTATATCTGTTGTTTCAGTCAATTTATAATTGGCATTTATGTACATTATTCAACTTCTCATTCTCTTTGTGTTTGAATTTTTAGAAGATTTAGTATGTTATAGATTTCATAAAAATAAAGATTTGCATGGATATGGATATTGTTATACAAAATAAATATTTATATCAACAGGATTTTAAATATTGGGATTAAATAATAATGATAAAAAAAGAATATCACAGTTGGAGAATCTATCAAATAATAAGAAATCACATGTGAATATTGGGATCAGAAATTTCATGTTTATTTTATAATATTTAGGATTATGATTGATAGGATAGAGCTGCTGGGATAATGTTGAAAGGAAAATATAAAAATTGAGATATTAATTAAACAAAAAACACATTTGATTGAGTCACATATATAATCTATTGACATTGGTGCATAGGCGTAGCAGGGGGGAGGGCAAAGGAAAATCCCCCTCCTTCAGAAATATATCACTTTTTGTGAATATCATTTAAGCTTATAAAAAATACCCCCCTTAGTCCTCCCATCACTCCCTGACCCTCAAAAATGTATGCATATATCTAAAACAATAATTTGAAAAAAAGAATGTAAAAGTTGATAATTTTTTATAAAATTTATATATTTTTAGAAAAAAGCAATTATATATATATATAAAGTGAACCAAAAATGTTTTTTAATAAATGGAATGTAAGCCAAAGATAAGTCTAAAGACAAAAGCGTAATGTATTTTAATTATTAATAATTGATCCATAAAATTGCTAAATAATATTATATATCAAATATAAGTTTAACAAAGTCAGTAATTTTAATTAATTTATCTTAATAAAAGTAAAATATAATAATAAAACTATTGATAAAATTAAATCATATATTAAATAAAAAAATTAAGGCACAATACAAACAGTGGAATATCATATGTCGTAGATTTACAATATATCTAATTTTATCAATTATCATATGACAATCAGGTAATTTTTAGCAATATAGCGATTAAAATATTTTACAGAAAACTATAAAATATTTAAAGGACAATAGAAAATATCTTTTAAAGACATTGTGGGATGAATAATATGAAAATTAATTTATAATATTATTTATTATTTAAATAAATAGATGGCGTTAAATATTTAAATGCTAATAGTTGCTATATTTATTATCAAGAACATTGATAACTGTAATATATTCTTTAACTGTCAAATATATCTGTAAAAGTGAATTTTAACTAGATTTTTGTAATTAATTTTATATAATAGAGAAATAACAACTATATGACATTTTTGTTTGGAATAAATTATTATCATGCTTTTATATTAATGTATATACAAGTAATTCATTATATTTTATATAAACTAATGAAAATATATTCCATATTTATTCCAGGCTTTTTTTTAAAATTAAAATTAACCTCCAATCTTGTAAAAATATTTTATAACTATATATAGACTGGTAATCTGGCCGAAGTCAGGGCAAAAGGGGGTCTCGGGGCGAAACCCTTAGTAATTTTTTAATCCCCCCCCCCCCCAATCCTGGCTTCTCCTTATCATTGGTGCATACATAATAAAATATAGAAGTTTCATAAAATATTAGAATTAAATATGCCGAATATAATTATTATTAAAAAAATAAAACAATATCTATAGGATAATTTCATAAGCTCTGAGTGGATCGGTCTTTTTGATAGATGGATATCCTATTTTCCTCTAAATATCTTTCCCAATTAACGATATCTGAGCACCAGTATAGAGATTAAAATAAACATTTAAACCATTTTGCTCGCTTGTTTTTTTTGACAGTTACTATTTCAATCGTATCGTTGTACTAGGTACTTACTTAACATAAATAAAAGGTTTGACTCAGCATCAACAACTAGAAGACTCTTAAAGGTTACTACAATAGATAACTATTGAGAATAGTATTTCTAATAAGGTGATTTGAGTAGCTATAGTTGTGATTATAACAAACAAAGCAATATAAAAGAGGACAGAAATAGCAATACCCCTGATAAATGTTTGGATAAAAAATTTAATGGCTTCCTTTGTTAATAAAAAAATGGCATCCTCACATAATTAACGAAGATTCTCTTCATATGGGTCATCAATGACATATAATACCTAGACTGACGATTCATTCATTAAAATGCATTTTTAAGCGTCGTTAAAAGCAAATCAGCTGGACCCGCCATTTTGGTAACCTTTATAATAATTATTTTCATGTTAAAAACTAATATTAAATTGATAACTTACTTTCTTATTATCTCGATGATCAGGCAATTCTTTAATAAAGTTTGCATCAGATATAATATAAAATTAGGCTCTCGTTTAAAATTTTAATATTTATTACAGTAACCAAGATAGCGTCTCTAGCTGATTTGTATTGATGTACACTTTTAATGAATGAATCGTCAGTCTAGGTATTATTATACATCATTTTGGGTCATATACAAAAATGGTAAATGAATGAATGAAATATTATTGATGTATTAATTAAGAATACATTCATATATCATATATTTTCAAAGTATTTTTTAAAAAATAATAATAAAATGACGCAAAATATAAGATCCCTGTCTACATATATTTTAATGAATAAAGCCTTTATAAATGGTAAATGGATTGACTCATTAGAAAATAAAAGGCAATATTATATGGAAAAAATTATCACTAATTTTATCATCTAGCTTTGGAATACTTAATCCAGCATCACAGAAGGTGATAGGGAATGTGCCTGATTTAACAATTGAACAAGTAAATTCTTCAATATTGTTGGCTCATGATAGTTTTGACAAATGGAAAAAGATTTCAGGAAAAGTATGTCTTATGTATATAAAATGTCTTAACTAATTGTTTAAGGTAAAGTATATAATTGTGAATTTTAAATGGAAGCATAGCAGAGCTTATAATCATTATTTTATGATTGTGAAAAAATAAATTTTATATTCATAATATCTATTTAGGATAAGTTACTATTTACAATTTTCACTGAGATTTAAATTATTTTTTTAAAATATTTTTACAAAATAATATGTAATATTTGAATAATTTAATAATAAAATTTATGAAAAGTGGTTTTAATAACATTCCCAACTGATGCTTCCTTTAAAGATATATTTTTATGGAATTGCAAAAATACTATAACCTTAAGATGCATATTATCCACATTATTTAATGTTTAAATAGTACTCAGAAACAATAAATAATTGGAGTATACTTGTGGTTATATTTTTTGCTTATTTCTTTTTAATAAAAAAGAGTTTTTGTACCTTAAGACCTATATACAAACCCTTTTATAATCTTTGATTACATTTTCCAATTCATCTATAAATATATTTTTTTAAATTTCTTTTAATAACCAATCTGTGGCTTGATTAAACATTACCTTAGATAAGGTCTAAACTGAAACCTAACCAAATTGTCCCAAAAATGCATACATGAAAACTGTTAAATTGGAATTTAGGATTTTAAACCTACAGCCTTCTTTTAAAATTTCCAACAACCAGTTTTTACAAGCTTTTTAAACCTTAAATAATTCTTTAAGCCAATTTTTTAATCTGATTTTATTGATAATACATTTCCAACATATTAAAAATACCTATCCTATGAATTTTAAACAATTTTGCCTGTTAACTTTTGTGTCATTTATAATTTATATAAAACATATATAGAGGGGGGGGAGGTTGGTTTATTTATTGCTAAAATTTCAATTTATTTTTAATTACCTTAACATAGTTTGAAACTATAGCCTGAATCCCTCAAAATTTTTTTAAATTTATTAACTGGAATCTTTACCCACTTTTTTCAAAATTGTTAGATATCATAACCCTTTATTTGTGTACAGGTTTTTCAAATTCTGATTTTTACGCCATCTATTGTGAAATAAAAAATATATTTTTTTATTTAGGAAATAAAACAATTAACAAAATAAAACATAAAAATCATTCGCCAAAATAATAAAATTTTGTTATTGATTAAACAAATTTTTTTTTTGGTTTGTGTTTTACCATTGATCCATGGATACCATATGTTTAAATTAATCATTTATATGACCATGTCATGATTTTATTCGACAGCAATTTAATTGTTGTACTCCATTTTAGGAAAGAGGTCATATTCTCAGGAAATGGTTCGATCTTATGATCAAGAACAAGGAGGCGTTGGCTGCATTGATCACCCAAGAAAATGTAAGTTAAATATTATTTTAATTATTAATTTAGAAATAATCATAAAAAATAGAAAGAAAGCAAGAGGCAGAAAATCAGTGTTGCTAAACGGTTCCTTTTTAGCCGGTTTTTAAAAACGGCTAACTCAGTATTTCATCCAGAAAAATATTACGCAAGCCTGAAGATTTTGTTTATAGAAGGAACAAAGGTCTAGACAAATACTTTCGAAATTTCAAGGTTAAGGCAATATTTTTCTGGCTAAAATACTGAGTTAGCCATTTTTAAAAATAGGCTCAAAACGAGCGGTTTAACAACACTAAAAAAAATATACCCTATATCTCTCCTTTATGCAAATGATTGAATGTATTATCAAAATTTAACTTCCATCGTTTTTATAGGCCTTATAAAAAAAATGGTTTTATTATAAGGAAGTCAAGAAATGACGAAAACTGAACTAAAGTAAACCAGTTAGGGCTAGATCGGGCAATTGATCTTCGTCATTTAAAAAAAAAACTTTTTAGTTTTTATTTATTAACAACAAGCCTGTGCTGTGTTTATTTTAAAAAATAACGTAAAAATGATCACAAGTAACGGATGCCTTACTTAAAATGTGAGAGGGCAGGGTGTTAAAGTTATCCCTTTTTTAGCCAGAAATGGTAACCACGTATAACAGTGTTTAGAAAACAATCTCTTTCATTCATCCAAATCCACTCCCATTCAAGATAATTGGAAAAATAATTTAAATATTTTTTTTTGCCGAAATTTGACATTGATTATTTTTATAGTAATAATTGTGTAGAAAGAAAAACGAAAACAATTTTTTTATTTTTTTTGGCAAACACTGTTATGTATATAATTATATATATATATTGAATAAAAGTTTTCCCATAATTGCATTTATTTTAACTTCACGACGTATGCAAGGTTAAATACTGCGGACAGTTTAAACCCCCTCCCCTCTTCCTAGTGTTCCTGGGTCGAGCTCTGACCTAAAAAAATGGCCGGGATTTTTTGAGGGTTTCTATCCATCATCACCTTATAATATTTTTGTTTTAAATTTTTTTTTTAAACCCCATCTCCTTCTTGAAAATGATAGCAGTTATACTCTAGATCGCATATCATTACTCGGAATCGATAAAGCGATATATCGGTATCGCTTAGCGGTTTCCATAAGCGTTAGCGGCGCGATTTTTTAGAAGCGTCTCCGCCCAATATTTTGGCTCAAGAATATTACGTAAACCTTGTTCCGAGTTTGGCTAAAATATTGGGCGGAACGTTTTTAAAAATCGAGCCGTTTAACAACATAGGTTTCCGGTTGAAAAATATACTTATTTTTTTAATTTGTTTTTGTTTGTTTGTTTTTTTTTTCAAATTTCGTATTTTATAAAAAAGGGTAAAACGATGAAAGAATCATTGACGGAAATAGAATTAGGCGCCAGCTATATCGAGTGGTTCTCTGGCGAGGCTCCGCGGATTAACGGCGACATTTTGACCTCGCCTAAAAGGGAGAAGCAGCTGTTAGTTTTCAAAGAACCGCTGGGTGTTTGCGCCTTCATAACGCCGGTAAAGAAACTCTCTCTGTCGGATTCAATATATATTAAATGCATAATAAGTCTAGTGAAAAAAATGATTTAGGAATGGAAATAATAAGTGCTTATACAAAAAAAGAAAGGAAAGAAAGAAGGAAAGCAAAAAAATTTAAAACCATAAATTGTTACGAAAAAAAAAACTCTTTAAAAACCTTTCAATTTCTTTTAAAAATATATGAATTGATTAAATAATATATATCGATTTTTTTTTGCAAATGTGATTATAAATTTATAGTCTTAATCAATAAAATAAATCCTAAAATAAGTGGAATTTTCCGAGCGCTATGATAGCTAGGAAAGTAGGCCCCGCACTGGCCGCTGGCTGCACGTGCGTTCTAAAACCGTCCGAAGAAACTCCGCTGTCCGCTCTCGCGTTAGCTAAAGTTACCTTATTATTTTTTTTTGCAAATTATCTTGTTAATATTCCTATTTTTTTTAAATCCGATTTACATTATTCTAATCTTTCTTTTCATCACTTTTTAAGTATTATTTCGTCATTTTTTTTTCGTCTTCCCTCTAACCTGTGCGATCATTTCGGAAATCCAGAATCGGATGAAATTAATATGCATCTTGGCCCGATCAAAACTTTTCTGTTTTTGCGACTACTAAATTTAACACTCTATTCATCTATAAATATTTTTTTGATATACTAAACTATGGTTGGGTAATGGCTAAATGTCGAGCTAATTCGGCTCAATCTTCAGTCGACTGCCAGATAAAATTCGTTAAGATTTAAAGGCGTTATAATTTATATTAGTTTCTTCTAAAATTTAAGCTGCTATCTCTCTTTTTATGAAAAACCCCATAGGCCAATAAGTAAATAATTTTCGGCTTAAAAAAAACTTGGTTTAGCCGGCTAAGAATCGGCTTAATCGGCTAAAAATATAGTAATTACCCGCTGACTATGATTCTAAATAGAGAAGATGACGGTGGCTAATATTTTATTTTAGCAGGTCTGGGTTCAAATGCTGAAATATAATATGATTCATAAAATTTATATACATATTTTAAAAAAATTTTTTTTGCAAGAAATAAAGCTTAAAAAAACATTAAAATTTTATTTGCTTGTCTATAGGGTAGGTATTCTAAACATACTGGAATGCATTTCCGGTAAAATCAGATTTTTAAATTTGAAAATAAAACGCGCTCAAAAAAACGATTTAAAGTTCAAAAAAGTAACACATTACCGAAAAAATGCATTCATGCTGGCTCGGCCGGATAAATTGATTTTTATTTAAGGTCCTGATTTTTTGGGGGATAAATAAAAGTTTGTTCGAGCCGGGCTGGAGATCACTAGAATCATCAGAAGCTAATGTACCCCCTCCCCCTTTCTTCATTTCGAATTTTATTTTACTCACTATCGCCATTCCTTTTTTAATCAATTTCTTTAAGGAATGAAAGAAACGTATGAAATGAAAAAAAAATGATTAAATAATAATATTAGATTTAAAAAAAAAACGAAAGAAAGATAGAAAGAAAGAAAAGCAAAAAGGAAAAAATAAATCTTTTTTCTTCTTCTTCAATAAGTTAAGTCAAGAGGCGGGACTTCCACCCGGTGTTTTCAACGTACTAACCTGTTCTACCAAATCGAATTCCGACGTCGGCAAATTGTTATGCACGCACCCCCTCATTTCCAAGATATCCTTCACTGGTTCCACCAAAATTGGAAAGGTTATTATTTTACATTGCAACATTTTTAACCCTTATGAAATCATAGACGCGCAGGCCCGGCCGACCCGACCCTTAGACCGCCATGGGTACACATGCAAAGCCCTATTTTAATTTTATAAAATATACCCGGGCCGGGCCTTTCAAAACCAAAACATTTTAAATCGCCATTATTATTAGCTATAATAATTTTTTTCGCAATATATATTTTTTTATAAAAATCTGGGCCGGGGCAAATGATACCCTCTGCAGGTCTCTGTGATAAATTACAAAAATATGCCATTCTTGTGTTGGTTATTTTTTTTAAAAAAATTATATCTTTTTTGTTTTTAAAATGCCAAATTTTTTGGTTCCAAAAAAGTAACAATTTTAAAAATTATTTTTAAATAAAAAAAAAATAGATACATAAAACGAAACAAAAAAAATATTTAGAAATTAAAAAAAATTGATATATTTTTTGGAGGGTTTAAGTATCAAAATTATTGAAATTTATAGTAATAAATTTTATTTTGATGTTGGTCGGTAATTTTATGAGAATCTTAATTCTTTTCTTCCCCCTTTATAAAAAAGGTTTTCTTTTAATATTTTTTTATAGCGATAAAAGCTCTATCGGACTGGGGCAGATTCGGACCTTGATTTTTATAAAAAAAATTTATTTCGGGAACAAAAATTATTATTTTCAGGGAATAACCAATTTTTTTTTTTATTATGCTTTCAGCGCTTAAAAAATTACTTTTTTTTAAAAAAGAAATAACAAATCAGATCTCACCTATTTCTAAAATAATGTTTTGAATCGGATTGGTCGGCGAAAACGGAAATAGGTCCGATTGATTGCGACTCTTATTCGATCAAGTCTCGCTTCTTAATCGTCCAATTGGAACGTTAAATAAATTTAAAAAAAAGGCCTTAGCCTTTATCAACGTTGACTTACATTTAGTTAATGACCAACATCGGACCTTTGTTATGTAAAATTCAAGCAAATAGGCCAGTATAGATATCATCCCATACTTTGGCCCATAACCGTGTTAAATAATCTTGTAACTTCTTTTTCTTCGTTTAAGTTGCACCTTTCGACGCTTACCCAGGGCAGACCAGTTTACCCATTCTAATCCTTTTTCTACATTTTTTTCGCTGCCTATCGCTTGCCTTTCAAACTTGGCATTTCACGTTTATTATCTACAGCTTTCGTTCAGCCGTCGCCCTCTGGGTCTCGTTCCCTTCACTTCCAACAAATGGGGTCTATTCGTTCATTCGTCATTTGCCATCCTATTCAACACATCCAAATCAACTTAGCCCATTTTTTTCTCTAACAGTATCACTTCTATTCAAATTTGCGTGTTTTCTTTTGTCTCTCGAAGCTACCCTACAGATTCATATAACTATTCTCGTCCCGTTCTTCGCGTGTCACTTTGATTGTCCATTTTCTCGCTACCGTGCATCATACAATTTCTTACCCAGCTCGCATAAACCTTTCACTTCTAAATCTAACCAGCACAACCATCCTAAGAACAATGCTTTTTGAGAGTTTCTCGGAAATAAAAAGAGCAATACAGATGACCCCAAAGAGGGATTCTACTTCCGCCAGCTGATTCCCCTCCAAATCTACCGATATTTCCTAATAATTTACACTTCTTTAGGGTAACATGTTGCTTTTTTTAAAAAAAATTTGCTTATATATTTCTAATGTTTTTATTTTAAGAGGATATCGAGTTAGACAAGAATTAAAGATATTTAATTAAGTGGTAATAAAATAATCATGGACATTACAATTTATCTGTATTTATATATTTCGGTAAAAGTTAATTGTATTAAAAAAACATTTGAATAAACAAGAAAGTTAATATGTAAATTTTCCATTATGTTAACTTTGAGTCGCAAAAAAACTATATACAAAAGATAAATATATAATGTTAATACTACAATAGGTATATATATATCTTTTTGTATACAAGTTTTAATTTTTAAAAAAAATTTAACACATATTTTAAAAATATTATAAAGTTTATATATACATTTTTTAAATTATGCAAACATAAAGTTAAATGTTTTTTGTCAATCCCAGATCTTGCTCTCTCACTGTTCCCAGGGCATCAAAAAGACATCCATGGAGTTGGGCGGAAATGCTCCTTTCATTATCTTCCCGTCAGCTGATTTGAAGAAGGCTTTGTCCGGCCTGATCGCTAGCAAATTCCGTTGCTCTGGCCAAGTTTTATTTTTATATTTTATAAATCCTTTTTAAAATGGAATTTTTCACCTTTATTTTTTATTTATTTAGCCGAGGTCTCTAAATTTTTTTAACCCATTTTTCTTATTAAAATGGAAAGAGGAAAATAAAGGGAGGGAAAAAAATTTTTTCAAAAAAAATCGTAAAAAAAAGTTACTTATTATACGAGAGTTGTTAAGTATCTAGATACATCAATTCTGTTCTGAATCTAGATATATTTTACAAAGGATATCTATATCTTGGATATATTTGAAATAGTGTATTTTAGCAACTCAAGTGATCATAAAAATCCAGTTAAAACTACAATCGCCACTTTAATATTTTTTGTTATATAGGGATTTTCTCACGGGCCGGCTAAGATTTTTATCGGCTTGGGGGGCTAAAATAATTCGGAGTAACAGAATGAAATTAAATTCATATGCACAATAAGCAAAATTTGACAAACCGTAATTGATAACCCGGGACCACCCGGTTTTCTCTTTTGCGCGGATCTAGTTCTTCTAATTAAACCTCGATTTTCGAGAAAAACTACCGTGCTGTTGGCACGTTTCCGTTTCGCGTTTTATTTTAAATTATGTATTTCAAATGGTGTCAGGTGATTTGGGCCTAATTATTTTCTTTCTTTCTTAAAATATTACATTATATTTATTATATTAATATTATTATTACTTATTTCAAATTTATTCTATTTATTGATCTTTGTACTGATTAAAAATTTTTTGTAACGGGGTAAATTAAATATATTTTTTATATAAAATTGTTTTAGTTATAATTTTAAGTGTTAAATGTATAAAAATACATTGCAAGTAAGAGTAAACCAATTAAGTAAATATTTCATAAGATATACCTTAGGGTATATAATTTATTTAACAAGTCCATGGCACGTGTTTCAAGGCTATGGAGAACAATATTCTTTGTATTTTTTTAGCACAGTAGAGTCTAATTCAAACAACTCTCCTTTAATCTAAAGTTCTCTATTAGCAGCTGCTTCTCAAAAATTAGATGAAAAGGTTATTTATCAAATTAAATCAGGGTTTACAAAATGTTCTTTCAAAATAATATATATTTTTTTTAAAGATAAAATTTCCTGATCAATTTTTACCTAAAATTCTAGAAAAAAGAAATCTTCAATTATGTCAAATTCAAAGATTTTTTAAACACCGAATTTTCTTTTATCTATACGCAGGCGCAACATTTGCATCCAATATCATTGGTTGATTAAACATCGTTTATATGAGTTATTATTACGATTTCCATCCCTTGGTTCAAAGATTTTTTTGTCGCCATGAAAGTGGTGATTATAATAATGAAATAATCTTAAAGAGATCTATATTCCCCCACCTCCCTCCTGCCATCTAAGATATAATCTTACTATTAGTTTTTCCATAGATTTTTTTTCGTATATAAATTTTAAATGACTAGAAAGTTAACTGCAAGATTATTTGAAATTCTAAACGTGCTGGAGGAATACATTTCCGATAAATTCAAATTTTCTACAATCTGAAAAATGATTGTAACGTAAATATGATATAAAAAATAAACGCTTTGACTGAAATAACACATTAACGCTAACTATAGCTATCATAGGTTCTGAAGGTAATATGCAAATTGCTTCCGCACATTATGGAACATTCAGTGGAGTGAGTTTCTACATAGAGGGCTTCATCCCAGCCCCCCCCCCCCATTCGTCATTTAAATTTTTAAGAAGGAAAAGTCACACTCTTAACAATATTATCAGATACGGGTAGTGTTGTTAAACGGCTCGTTTTGAGCCAATTTTTAAAAATGGCTAACTCAAAATTTCATCCAGAAAAATACCCCGCAAACTTGAAGATTTTGCTCATAGAAGGGACAAAAGTCTAGACATATATTAACGAAATCTCGAGGCTTAGGCAATATTTTTCTGGCTATAATATTGAGTTAGCCGTTTTAAAAAATCGGCTCAAATCGAGCCGTTTAACAACACTAGTTACGGGTTATTCTTCTTCTATAATATAGTTATCGTCATCAGTCATATTTGTCTATTATAAATGAATTTTCGATATATGATATAATCCTAAAATATGGTTATAAAATAATGTTAGTTATTTTTAAATAATTATCATGCCTAATTTTAAAAGGTAGCAAAATAGCGTTACTTTTCAAAAAAAAGTTACATTTCAGAAAAAAATGTAACGCGCTTATACTTTAAGAACATCGCCAACTTGAATAATACCGTTCGAAATACATAATTTTAAAATACAACAAAAACGTCTCCATTTGACGGCACTGTTAGAGCCTTGTTTGTTTGGGCGAAATAATTCCCTGTAAATATTTATTGGTCAGGGGGTTTTAATACCTCTGGATAAGAAAATAATTCTCTAGTTTTTTTTGGCTAAAATAAATTCTCCAAAACCCTGCATTCACAGTTGGTGAGAATTAGCGGTGACGACGTCCTGCCGCTATGTTTTATATAGCTTGTTTTTATACACGTTCGTTCTCGCTAAACATCCTCCACTCAATTTAACCCCGATCTTGTCCAAATTGCCCCCAATCAATCATTTAACCATCTGATCGCTCAAATTTTATTAGAGCCCTCTGTTTATTATAAATCTGGTCATCTATTTTACATATAATAATTTTTTTAAAGACATGCGTTTGCGCTAATCGCATTTTAGTCCACGCCGATATTTATGATGAGTTCGCTCGATTATTGAAGGAAGAAGTTGGCGATATGCCCGTGGGTCCCGGAAACGACCCCGCTACCGATATAGGACCCTTAATCAACAAAGCGGCTGCTGATAATGTAATTTCAAAAGTATTTTATATTTTTACCATGTTTCTAACGCGGAATACCCTTGGATATTGGGTTTGTCGATGCCCCCATAGAGCCAGTTGAAGTGGAAGAGGAAATGTTCAGGTTAGTCCCTTGGCCAGCAACTGAATTAGAACCTGGCATCGCAGCCACAAACAAAAAAAGAATTTATTTTATATATAAGGGATTCTTTAATTAAAACTTTTATACAGGTCTCTCAAAATAACAAATTGAAGATAATATAGAATTTTTCTTGTAAACATAAAATTCATTCTTCTTTTAATAGGCATAATAAGAGGCTTGTAAACATAATTTGTTTTGGCGCGATTGTAAAAAAACTAGGTTTTGCTAATTTTACCCGAGATAATTTTAACCTCGAGCTGATATGTAATCTATTATGAATAAAAAGATTCCTATATGATGTAATTTACACATAAAATGGTAGGCGTAAAACTGAACATATGATAAAATAACCATACGGGCAAATGTCATTATTAAAAAAATATCACCTTCGTTCCCCAACACACTTTTTCTCTATAATTTTATAAAGTTTTTAAAAAAAATTACCATATCTTCTATATTTTATTATTTCGACCTTCATTTTTTTTTGTCACCATCATACAAAAATGTAAAGATTGAAGCCTTACTAGAAGATTCCGTTCTCAAGGGAGCCAAGGTGAGCGCGGGAGGTAAGCGTCTCGGGGAAACTTTTTTCGAACCAACGGTTTTGCAACACGTGACACCCGACATGAGAATCTATCAGGAAGAAATATTCGGTCCGGTGGCTTCCCTCATTAAGTAAAAAATGAAATTACACAATTTTCGATTTAATATCTCTTCTCATTCCTTTTTTTCTTTTATCTAAATAATATTCCTTTTTTTGAATATTTAAGATTTAGCACGGAGGAAGAGGCCGTAGAAATAGCTAATTCAACTCCTTTTGGCTTAGCAAGTAAAATTAATCAACAAAATTGATCAAAGTATTTTAAAAAAATTTAATTCATAACTATAACTCGAATGAGTTAAATATTTCATGGTAACTTTGTAATAATTTTCAAAAAAAGCTGAGAGTTTTACAGTAGCGAAATGAATGGCGTGCACTATTTAATCGATCATATGTATATCTTAAAAAAGGATTATCTTCGGATATCCATCCCTTATGTTTCTCGAAATCCGCTCACTCGGTACAGAACGGTTAGCAAACCGGCATAGATATCCGGCTGAATATCCTGAACATTTAATATTATATATATATATATATTTTTTTAAATTAAATTTATTAAAATAACATCATTTTATTGATTTAAAATAAAATAAGGCTATTTTTACAGCCGAGACGTGGAACAGATATGGCGCGTCAAATCTTCCTTGCATTTCGGGATGGTGGGAATTAACGAGGGAATCATAACGACGGCCGAAGCGCCCTTCGGCGGTGTCAAATATTCGGGGTTCGGTTACGAGGGTTCGAAATACGGTATAGAAGAATATCTGCACAAAAAATACGTTTGTTGGTCTGTCTAGGAAAAAATGAAATGTCTCCCTTTTTTCCTCCTCTTGAAAAAAAAGCAATGTGATCGTCATAAATTTTTGCAGCAATCTAATAATGCCATTTATTTGTTATTTGGAGTTGTTTATATTCCACCCTGTTATTTGTTAAATTGATTCCTAAGTTGTTATAATGCTCAAAAACCTAATATTGTATTAAAAAGCGTGATAAATATTTACTTATCCTATATATATATATATAACATTTATATAATTTATATTTTGATTAGTAATGGCTAACTCAATATTTTAGCCAGAAAAGTATTGTCTAAGCCTCGAGATTTCGATAATATATGTTTAGACGTTTGTTCCTTCTATGAGCAAAATCTTCAGATTTGCGTGATATTTTTCTGGATGAAATATCGAGTTAGCCGTTTTCAAAAATCGGCTCAAAACAAGCCGTTTAACAACACTAATTTTGATAGTTGAATAATTATATCTTAGTTTTAAAAAAGATTAATTTATGCAAACTTATATTTACCCAACTATTATTTAAGGTCTTTTTAAGTCATCAAAAATGCTATTATTATGATGACTATGATATTGCTATACAAATTTATAAAACAGATAAATGATAAAATATCAATTATATTATTTATATTTTCTTCTAATCATGTAATATCATAAAATATTTATATTTACAAAATTTTTTTAATAAATTGGAAACTTTTTTTACTATAGTTTGTAAATTTGTATCGATTATCGGTTTATATAAATTTTAAAAATTATCGTTAATAAGTCAGGGCTAATGTAGTCCTGATATCCGAAATAATATTAGGGACTATTAGAAGAGATCGCAGTTAATAGAAGTATTTAAGATCCTCTAAAGAAAAAATATCGAATTAGCAAACAATTTCTATATCTCAAACAATAGCTGTACTCATTAAATCTAAAAGAGAAGCCATCCAATTTCATGATAAGTGGCCACTGAATTTTTTGAGAGTTGAAAATAATCGACCCAATTATATAAATATTTGTTCATTTATTTTATATTTTAAAAAAAAACTTAAAATAGTCAATTTTTTATATTAAATCTTATATAATATATATATATACACATATTTTTTTAAATATATCAAATAATGTCTTTTTCAGACATTACACCTTATTTGTCAATGCTAATTGCGACAGGAGATGACTCTATTTTTGAGAAAAAAAGTAAGTGACTTATAGGTTTGAAAAATCGACAATGTCACTTAAAAAAGGCTATAGAGAAATAATCCGAATATTAAAAATAAAAAATATTCTGGGATGTAAGAATTAATATTAGCACAAATATTCAAAACAACAGAAAATAGAATGTTTAATATGAAAAATCAAGTATTAAGAATAATGGCTTATCAAGTTACCCTATTCGATTTATCGAGTTAAGTTGTTTATAGTGTTGTTAAACGGCATGATTTGAGCCGAATTTTAAAAACGGCTAACTCAATGTTTCATTTAGAATAATATTACGCAAACTTAAAAATTTTGCTCATAGTTAACACAAAGGTTTTGGACATCTATTAGCGAAATCTCGAGGCTTGGACGATATTTTTCTGTCTAAAATATTGAGTTAGCTGTTTAAAAATCGGCTCAAATCGAGCCGTTTAACAACACTAGTTGTTTACCCACCTGTTATTAACGAAAATAATTCAGCTCTTTTATATGCCTAAGATTAATTTTTGCGTGATTTATTGGGTTTTTTAAGCTGTTTACTAGCAACCTCACTAAGAGTGGTGGAAGGGGGGAGTGCACACGGGCTCGATTCTCCTGAAAATTTGAATCTTTTTCAAGACCATGTTGAAAATGTTAACTAAAAAAAGAGGTCATTTTGAAATACTTAAGATAAAGTTCTTGAGCCCCCCAGAGATTGTAATGGCTAGTGAGCCACTGCTGGTTTTCCAATTGTCAATAATATAAGCATATTAGTCTAAGTGCCTCAGTACATTTAAAGATAAAAAGTTATTTTTTGCACACTTACTCCCAGGCCTATTCGAAAATGGATCGAATGTTAACGAATGTTTTATAGTCAAGACATATATGCCAGGCAATTCGCGATTAATTCAAATAATTAGCCGTAATCCTACAAGGGCCCGAATACCAAACATCATGGAGTCTGCTATTTTTATCATCAGATTATGGGCCTTATGGCAGGTGGTTTTAACTTCACTATATTTGGTCTTTTAGGTAAATCCTTAATTTTTGACCTCACATGCCTTTTACCCTTTCCAAGATATCTCAATTCGAATCCCGTTGACATGACAAAAAAAAAATGAAAAGGTTTATATAAATACAATAAATTAAATAATAACTTTTATACCAATTTGTCAAGAGGAACTTTAAGTTTTTAAATAAAATATATAGGTAGCAATAAAATTATTATTTTATAAAATATGACTATGTTTGTTTATTTTTGTCCAACTTCCATTTTTATAGAATGAACAGTATTTTATATTTCATTATTTAAATGATCACAATGTAATGTAATAGATATCTATATTTATATAGTTATTTAATGATAAATGAATAACTTGAAATAATCAATTTTTATAAACATAATTTACGTAATATTTATAATATATGTATATATATATACCTCTTTAAAAATTTACAAATTCAACATCTAAATGTGAATTTATATTTGGGGATAACGTAATGACAAAAAAAAAGTTTAACCTACACATAATATAAATAATCTTGTTTGTTATATATATATAAAATATAAATAATTTATTGGATCAAATTTAAATTAGCTCTCTCATTTCAATTCTCGTTTTCAGATTTATTCTCCATTTGCATTTTTTCGTTGTTACAACAAACTCCACCTAATAAATAAATAATTATATATTTTGATTAAAATACAGCTCTAACCCAATAGAATACTTTAAATGTATTTGTGTTAGCGGCAATGTAACTTTAAATCATTTTTTTAAACGCGTTTTTCTTTCAAATTTAAATTTGTGATTTTACCTGAACTGTATTCCATCATGTTTATAATATCCACCTAGTGTTGTTAAAACGCCGCAAGTCGCGACCCCGACCCAAAGCTCGGGTCGTTTTATTCGACTCCGACTCAATGTTTGGGTCGTTTTTTTCGACTTCGACCCGAGTTCAAGCCGAAAAAAACGACTTCGACCCAAAATATGGGTCGTTTTTTTCGACTTCGACCCAAGTCCAAGCCGAAAAAAACGACCTCGACCCAAAATATGGGTCGTTTTTTACGACTCCGACTCAAAATTTGGGTGGTATTTTTCGACTCAAACTTGAAATTTGGGTCGTATTTTTCGACTCAAACTTGAAGTTTGGGTCATATTTTTCGACTCAAACTTGAAGTTTAGATCGTATTTTTCGACTCCAACTCAAAGTTTGGGTCGTTTTTCTGACTCAGACTCAAACATCGGGTCGTTTTATTCAATCCGACCCAAAATATGGATCTTTTTTTTAAAGACGACCTAAAGTCAGGGTTGCTTTTTTTCACCCCTACCAATATCTAGATCATTTTTTTCGACCAAAAGTCAAATAACATTTAGTATATATTAATATTATAGGCGGGAAAGTTACTTAAAGCTTCTTTAAATTATAATGCTCTGATTAACTATTCATCATAGTTATATTTTAAAATTTTTAAGTGAAGATGTAACATAGAAAAGTGCCATTTGTCATGATGGTTATTTTTGAACTTTTTTAAATGAAATAGATAAAAATATATATTGTAGACATGTTAAATCAAAATTTCAGTGATGATGTACCACAGATAAGTGGTAATTGTCATAATCGCTATTTTTGAACTTTTTTGAGTTTTTTTAAAGCAAATTGCTAAAATTATATATTCTAAACATGTTAAATTAAAAATTCAGTGAGGATGTATCATAGATAGGTGACAATTGTCATAATCGCTATTTTTAAACTTTTTCAAATTTTTTTAAAGGAAATATCTAAAAATATATATTCTAAACATGTTAGATTAAAAATTCAGTGAGGATGTATCATAGATAGGTGACAATTGTCATAATCGCTATTTTTAAACTTTTTTCAATTTTTTTTAAAGGAAATAGCTAAAAATATATATTCTAAACATGTTAAATTAAAAATTCAGTGAGGATGTATCATAGATAGGTGACAATTGTCATAATCGCTATTTTTGAACTTTTTCAAATTTTTTTAAAGGAAATAGCTAAAAATATATATTCTAAACATGTTAAATTAAAAATTCAGTGAGGATGTATCATAGATAGGTGACAATTGTCATAATCGCTATTTTTGAACTTTTTCAAATTTTTTTAAAGGAAATATCTAAAAATATATATTCTAAACATGTTAAATTAAAAATTCAGTGAGGATGTATCATAGATAGGTGACAATTGTCATAATCGCTATTTTTGAACTTTTTCAAATTTTTTTAAAGGAAATAGCTAAAAATATATATTCTAAACATGTTAAATTAAAAATTCAGTGATGATGTATCATAGATAGGTGACAATTGTCATAATCGCTATTTTTGAACTTTTTCAAATTTTTTTAAAGGAAATAGCTAAAAATATATATCTAAACATGTTAAATTAAAAATTCAGTGAGTGATGTATCATAGATAGGTGACAATTGTCATAATCGCTATTTTTGAACTTTTTCAAATTTTTTTAAAGGAAATAGCTAAAAATATGTATTCTAAACATGTTAAATTAAAAATTCAGTGAGGATGTATCATAGATAGGTGACAATTGTCATAATCGCTATTTTTGAACTTTTTCAAAGGAAATATCTAAAAATATATATTCTAAACATGTTAAATTAAAAATTCAGTGAGGATGTATCTTAGATAGGTGACAATTGTCATAATCGCTATTTTTGAATTTTTTCAAATTTTTTTAAAGGAAATATCTAAAAATAAAAATAGCGATTATGACAATTGTCACCTAAATATGATACATCCTCACTGAATTTTTAATTTAACATGTTTAGAATATATATTTTTAGCTATTTCCTTTAAAAAAATTGAAAAAGTTTAAAAATAGCGATTATGACAATTGTCACCTATCTATGATACATCCTCACTGATTTTTTAATCTAACATGTTTAGAATATATATTTTTAGATATTTCCTTTAAAAAAATTTGAAAAAGTTTAAAAATAGCGATTATGACAATTGTCACCTATCTATGATACATCCTCACTGAATTTTTAATTTAACATGTTTAGAATATATAATTTTAGCAATTTCCTTTAAAAAAATTTGAAAAAGTTCAAAAATAGCGATTATGACAATTGTCACCTATCTATGATACATCCTCACTGAATTTTTAATTTAACATGTTTAGAATATATATTTTTAGATATTTCCTTTAAAAAAATTTGAAAAAGTTCAAAAATAGCGATTATGACAATTGTCACCTATCTATGATACATCCTCACTGAATTTTTAATTTAACATGTTTAGAATATATATTTTTAGCCATTTACTTTAAAAAAAATTGAAAAAGTTCAAAAATAGCGATTATGACAATTGTCACCTATCTATGATACATCCTCACTGAATTTTTAATTTAACATGTTTAGAATATATATTTTTAGATATTTCCTTTAAAAAAATTTGAAAAAGTTCAAAAATAGCGATTATGACAATTGTCACCTATCTATGATACATCCTCACTGAATTTTTAATTTAACATGTTTAGAATATATATTTTTAGATATTTCCTTTAAAAAAATTTGAAAAAGTTCAAAAATAGCGATTATGACAATTGTCACCTATCTATGATACATCCTCACTGAATTTTTAATTTAACATGTTTAGAATATATATTTTTAGCAATTTGCTTTAAAAAAACTCAAAAAAGTTCAAAAATAACCATCATGACAAATGACACTTTTCTATGGTACATCTTCACTTAAAAATTTTAAAATATAACTATGATGAATATTATAATTTAAAGAAGCTTTAAGTAACTTTCCCGCCGATAATATTAATATATACTAAATGTTATTTGACTTTTGGTCGAAAAAAATGATCTAGATATTGGGTTAGGGGTGAAAAAAAGCAACCCTAACTTTAAGTCGTCTTAAAAAAAAAGATCCATATTTTGGGTCGGATTGAATAAAACGACCCGATGTTTGAGTCTGAGTCAGAAAAACGACCCAAACTTTGAGTTGGAGTCGAAAAATACGATCTAAACTTCAAGTTTGAGTCGAAAAATATGACCCAAACTTCAAGTTTGAGTCGAAAAATACGACCCAAATTTCAAGTTTAAGTCGAAAAATACAACCCAAATTTTGAGTCGGAGTCGTAAAAAACGACCCATATTTTGGGTCGAGGTCGTTTTTTTCGGCTTGGACTTGGGTCGGAGTCGAAAAAAACGACCCATATTTTGGGTCGAAGTCGTTTTTTTCGGCTTGAACTCGGGTCGAAGTCGTAAAAAACGACCAAAACTTTGAGTTGGAGTCGAAAAAAACGACCCAAAATTTGGGTGAGCTCTGTTCGAGCCGACTCGGCTAAGCCGATTAACAACACTATATCCACCCCGTGAATTTAAGGATATTTTGTCATGAACTTTTGAACTTATTCATAATTTATATTCGTTTTTCCATAGATATGACTCAAGTTAATGACAAAATTGTTCTGAAATTCGTAAGATAGGTGTTCTAAACATGCCTAAATACGTTTCCGGTAAAATTAGATTTTTAAATTTTAACACATTTATGGAAAAACACACATTTGGCGCCAATATTTATAATATTTACAAAGTCGCGTCAAAAACCTTTGTTTAAATTAAAACATTAAGGAAAGACACTAAGTAAAAAAATTAAGAAAAGTTTTATTATAATTTTTCTAATAAACGTTCAATTTTTCATTAAAAAAAAAGGTTTATGGCTCTGTCCAAGTTCGACTCGTTTTCGATGCTTATTTCTGTTTCATCTAGGCTAAGCTGAACAGATGTTTGAACTAGGACATATAAATGATCTTACATTCTGGACATTGCAAGCTTTCTTGACCAGGAGGGCAAGCATTTTCATCCGAGCATTTCCTGCAACACTTATAATTAAAAAATGGAATATCATGAGATTCTAAAAAAAAAGAGTAAAGTTATATTATAATGGTGGCTCGTATATAGATCTAACTCTAGCTTAGACTCAGATAGATGGAACCCTGATCTCAATTAGTGATGGTCTGACCCATTATTTTAGCCAAAATATATCACGCAAAACCTCAAGATTTTGTTGATAAGATGCCCCAAACCGTTTCTGCCATCCTATGAGCAAAATCTCCAGGCTTGCCTAATATTTTTTGGCGCCACAATCTTGGCTTAGGCATTCTTAAAAAATCGAGTCGTTTAAACACTTTTTAAATCACGAGTGTCATTTATATAGTTATTTAATCAACTTAGAAATTGTCGCTTTATTAGAAAATTAAATATATATAAGATACATGGCAGCATCCCTTATCGCAACCGTGACATGCTTCATCGTGCCAACCTAATCAAGTATAAAATTTTATAAATTGGATTTTCGCGTGTAAAACTTACATATTTGACATTTTTCGTATTTTGTATCCATATCGCAACACTGTAAAAAAAATAAAATAAAACAAGGAGAATGGAAACAAATTTAATTTAAAAAAAATAATTTTTAATAAAAAAAAGAAAGAAAGAAATAAAAATAATTTGCGAAAACCTCCCCAAAAAGATGTCAATATTTAAAATAAATTATCATAAAGTTTAGTTTGTGGTTTAATCTACTAATTTTTGATAGTTTTATATATATATTTTAAAAATATCATTATTATTTTTCAATAAACATTGATCAATACCCTAGGCATGTTGGGAATAGTGATGCCCTCAATTTCATTAAAATCATAGGAAAAAAAATGAGACAGATCTCAAGGGACCCCAATGAAGGATTTTACCTTAGTCAGCAGATTTCCTCTAGAAATCTGCTGGTCCAATTTTTTAAGCATTCACTTTTCTCTAGGGTGATTTGTACCCATTTTTTAAATATACATAAATATTTTTTAAAATTCTTTACATTTTTAATTTATTTCATATGTAAATTGTGAATTCTTTATTTTTTTTAAATAAAATTTTTATTATATTTTATAATTTCTTGTTCTTTAATAAACTAAAATAGATATATAATATCCTTAAAATGGTCAATTTAACTTGGCAACAATCATTGGGGCATACGCATTTTGAGCAAGGACATGTTCCACCATCTTTCTTGTAAGGGCATTCTCCTTCAGGACAGGGTTGAACACTACCTTCTTGAGTTTCCATATGTTTATGGCTTCGATTTATATTATATAATATATTTATTTTTTTTGTGAAAAATAATTTCTTATATAAAAACATTGTACAGAGTATGCATAAAGATTATTCAATATCATTAGTCTACTTCAGGTTTAATAATTTTTTTTAAAATAGTTTAAGGATAATTTTATGTTAGAATCTTTAGCGAAATTTTTAAAAAGATTTTGTTTTGGCCACGAGTTTAATAATTTTAGAATTTAAGAAGCATAATGTATGGGAGGACGATAATAAAAAAAATATTAAAAAAGGTAGCCATTTTTTTTAAAGGTTTTTTGATATATATTACACCATTTTTTTAATATTTTGTCAGGAATAATAGTTAAGTCACAATTCTATGCGTTTGCACCCCATGGAAAATCAATCAGACCTAAAAATGATAAAGGTTATCAAACCCATTTTTATAAAAAGGCTTGTAAAATTTCCTAGAAACAAAGGTCCACAAACCTCATAAATACTAATTGTCGATATTCGGGTTTTTTTTTGACAATTTTATTTTTGATAAAAAAAAATAAATAATAATAAGAGCACAATTTTTTTTTAAATATTATATACTAAAACCTCTTTTAATTTTGGAAGATCTTTAGATTCACGCTACAGGAAAACAGCTGTGGCTTATAAAATAAAATTATATATATATGTGTATTTTCATATATTTTTTTAATGAATGCATTCATAATATGGCATTTGAGTGCGTCGTTGAATGCAAATCAGCTGGACCCGCCATTTTGGATAACCTATAATAGTAATTATTCTCATGTTAAAAAAAACTAGTAATTGATAAAACTTGTTTTCTTATCATCTCGATGATCAGGGAATTCTTTTTTTTTTTAAATAAAGTTTACGTCATAATATAGGAATAAATTGGCCACTCGTTTAAAAATTTTTTTAAATTTACGATATGGGTAATCATAATGGCGTCCCCAGCTGTTTTTGTTTATGTACACCTGTAATGAATGCATCGTCAATCTATGAGTGGCATATACGAAGATTTTAGTTAATATGGGATTTAGTGTTGTTAAACGACTCATTTTGAGCCGATTTAAAAAAAAACGGCTAACTCAATATTTTAGCCTAAGAAATATTGTCTAAGGCTCCAGATTTGGCTAATAGATGTCTAGACCTTGAGCCATCTATGAAGAAACTCTTCAGGCTTGAGTAATATTTTTCTGGATAATATGACGAGTTAGCCGTTTAACAACACTAATGGGATTAGATGGCTAGAGAATAGACTTATTCAAAAAACAAATGGATAAAGAACAATTCATCAAGGGTGAAGACCGATCTAGTCCGATTAAGCTATTTATTTAGGCACGGGTTTCGACCCGGAAATTTTTTGAAATAATAATATTTTTAATACCTTTAATTTTTCGAATATTTAATTTTATATTAAAAAATTTTTTTCAAAAAAAAAACACTTGATCTAAAAAAAAGGACAAAAATTGTTTATATAATATTTTTATTTTTGAACAAAGAGATCACGAGATATATCCACGTGATCAATTTTAGCCAATTATAAATATATTTCAAAAATAAAATATTTTTACGCGACTTCAAATGACCGATATAAGTTTTTTTTTAAAAAAATGTAACAAATAATTTCTGAATATATTTGAAGGGACTTGAGCCACAAGCATTCCCTCCCCTTCTACCCCCTCAAGTGTGGCCACAGCTGTGATTTTTATAAACAAATTTAAGAAAATTTTCCGAGTTTAAGAAATGACATGTCGAATCGAACAACACGATAAAGACCGGATATAAGAAAAAGTAACGAATAAATTTATAAATATAGAATGAGACAATATAATGAAATAATAATAATATAAAAATATAATTGTATAAATCTTTATCCTAGATTTACCAATTTAGGAAAGATATAGGTGGATGAAAAGTGAGGTAGGAAGAGAGGGGGGTCATAAGGCTTCGTCCAGGCCTACCTCTTTAACGCTGGGGTTAAAACGCTTTCCATGTTGTATCTTATAATCTTAAAAAACGTTCGAAAAGCAAGATTGTAGACGACCCTAATTCGGGTTCAGGAATTTTAAACTCTAGCGGAAACCGAATTTCTAAACGAGAACCGAACCCGCCCCGGGTCCATATCACCCCGGGTTTGATGGATTATCCCATAAATCGGTCTCTGTTTTGTCCGTGGCCTTAAAATGCCCAACCAAACAATTTTAAATTTCGGGAAACCGAATTCAGCTCCACAACCCCGTTTAAAAGATTCTTTATCCATACATTTTATTGGGTCAACTTTTTGAGAATTTTTGGCCAGATTACATTTTTACAAGTAAAAATTTTATTTCTAAAAAACTTTAATTTCTTTCCCATTTAAATTTTTTTTTAAAAAATTAACTTGTAATCGTTTAAGAAAATACTGTTTGTAATTATAATTGTCTAATTTTTAGGTGAAGGAGTATAGGGGATGGATTAATGTTTTTTTAGCCTAAAATGGATATATTCGAATATTTAGAAATTGGGGAAGGAGGTAGAATTTTCCGCTTCCCCCCCCCCACCATCCTCCTTTCTGTTAAGCTAATAATGGAAGAAAATGTCTCCCATCAGGGGCTATTCTTCAATAACTAAGTATGCAATTTTAGAGTGTAAAAGAATTCACGAAAAATAGTTGAAAGGTAACATTTAAAAAAAATTTATAATAAAATATATAAATATATTTTATATCATGAATATAGTTCTCTTACATTGGTTAGTTCCTTATTTATTTTACAAGAAATTAGGGAATTTATAAATTCTTAATGGGATTAAATATATAAATTTTTTTATAAAAAAAAGCAAAAATAAAATAAAGAAAAATACACTTAAAAAACGACAAGTTTTTGGCTCGAATTCTAATTGGTTATAATAATTTTAAAACATTTCAATTCGTTCAAATAAAAACACAATAATTTATTTTTTATTTTTTGTATTTTTATATATTTTTAATATCGATTTATAAATAAAAAAAATTATCATAAATATTATAATAAATTGTTTTTAGCCAAAATAAGGTGAGAACTTTTTTATTTACAACCTTGGCTAATTTGTAAGTGCGAATTTATAATATTTTTCAAAGAGGGTCGGAGCTACAAAGGGGAAGATTGGGGGGGGAGGGCATTTGGAGGTCAGACCCCTTACCAAAATTTAGCTAAATATTGTATGTTTTTGCGTTTTGGTCTTTCATACATCTAAAGTGAGTCTTAATTTTAACATAAAATAAAATAATTATGCCTATAATTTTGTATAAATTATGATTTATTTTATATTATGCAATTTAATTATTAATTTTTTCCTATTAATTTAAGTCATATACCAATTATTGATTTTTTTCCTATGATATGATTGTATAATTTTATTTATTCTACTATCTAATGCACATTCTATTCTGCTTAGTCACCATTAAAAAGACAAAAATTAATCGAAATATGCAAATTTCACAGGCAAATAAATTTCGGATAAAAATACTTTAAAAAAAATTACCACCATCCCCCCTCCCCCCACCTCAGTGCTCCCTATTAAAAAATTATAGTTAATACCCTGTATTACATAATGTATTGATGAGTAACTAGTGAAAGTAACGCTCTATAGTAAAGGCGCTACTTTTATAATAAAAATAAATATCTAATTAATTATCGCTACTTATATTTTTTCGAACTAAATAATAAACTTAAAATAAGTATTTAACTATTTAAAATATTTTTTTTATTGATATTTTATGAATGAATAATAAGAAGAATACATAATATCTCTATAAAATATACTAAAAAAACATAAGCTATTTAAGTTAAGTCAGTATGGCTTAATGATCCATTTATAGAAATACAGTTGGGGCAATTTGGATGGATATTCTTTGCCGTAGATAAAACCTTTCCTTTGGATCACCAATATTTTCTTAGCTTGTTCCCTATTGTTGCTAGATCCAAACATCATAGGTGTCTGAAACCTCCGGAATAAACATTGGTTATAATATATGACATTAGTCCACTTGCTGTACAACGACCAAAATTTATTTAAGTGCAATTAGACCCGTTTATTTTTTTAATATATAATAATCACGTGGTCGATATATCATCCCTCCAAGGACAGAACTTCTAGTTAACTTACGGAAAAATAGCCCTTGCTAGATTCAACCCTGTAACTAGCGGATAGTGACGTACGCACGCCTACTGAACCGACTAGGACACAAACGCGACTCAACATAATCATCAAATATTTTTTGCATAAAAGGATAAAATTACAATGCTATCTAATAAAACAGAAAAAATTATAACTTTCAACGCTATACATTATTCCCCAATAAACAGCAAGATGTTATTAATTTTGATTATATTATTTATAATTGGAAGGGACAAATATTTTATTTTAAAAATGATTCGTTCGAATCCTTTAATTTTATTTTTTTTAGATAACCTAACAAACCTCAATATATTTAGACAATAACCCAACTCAAGGAAATAATTGGATGAAATATATTTAGAGTTAAAAAGACAGGTTAGTGCTAATTAAAATGGAAGATATATTAAAAAATGGTTTATATAATAAAATTTAATCATATTTTTTTTTAAAATAACTTGTCGAATCTGGCAGTTCATGTATGATTGAATTGGACCCTAATCCATATTTGTAGAGGTTTTTGCTATTAAAAACCTTTTTTATAAAATGTAGTACCTCTAGTTCTCCTGTTGAGAGACGTTTTTCTTTGCTAGATGAAACTTTGAAAGACGGATTATAAATTTTATATTAATAATAAAAAAAAGATAATGATTCCATATGGCATTTATGAGCGCCTAAGAACAAAAATGATGTTCTTAAGAATAAAAATTCTAAGTAGCAAATATTTTCAGATTCTATGATCAATCCACTAGTAATGGAAGTTATATCATTAAAAAAAACTAAAAGAAATAGAACTGAGGATATTAATAAAATAATGATTGAAATTATTATGTAAAATTATATTGTAACGTCATACTCAAATTTAAACATTCATAGTGGGTATAAAATAACTTGTGTGTTGATGATGTCAAATTAGGTAGCAGGACTTTGAAGGGTTAACTTATTATATATATATAATGTATATATTTCCTTCTTATAAAAATGTCACATATTTTTTATCAACCTGATAGATTGTTTTTTCAATATTAAAGAGAACGTTTATTGCCTTAAAAAATAGCTAATATTCCTTGCTCAGTCATGACACTACCGGGGATCGCATCTAATTCTAATGGGAGAGTGTATACCATTAGCCTGCATTACATGTATATAAACATGATTACCAATATACTTAAACGGAAAACTACTCTCAGATACAAAAAAAGGAACAACAAATGGAACCAATATAGTACTAAAACAATATTCGTTTCCTTCCTGTGGTCATCTCCATCAAAAGTAGATAGAATGAAAAATCTGTGCAACCCCATCTGAAAATACCAAATAATCTTTCTTTCTTTCTTTCTTTCTAAATCGCAATTTCTAAACTGTTTTAAACAGGTTCAGAATTCGATTCGCTCTATTTAGGAATTCGGTATAATGATGCTGTTATGGTTGCAGTTCAGAAAATTATAATGGTTTATTCCTGTATATAGTTTCGATTTTGGTCCTGGGATTCCTATCAGTAAGCTACCATCTTGAATATTTTTGTATTTATTAGTAGCTATTTGATGGTGCCAGCTACTAAATTTGCATTATAGAGATATAATTTGGTAGAAGACAATCTTTAAAATATTTTAATTGCACTACGTCGATTATATATGTTGCAAATTCATAATAAATTAGGGTTAATTTATTATATAAATTTTAAAGATATAATTAAGTCTATTATGTAAGCGTCAATGTGTTTTTTTTCTAGCAACGTGTTATTTTTTTCAACTTTAAATCGTATTTTGAGCGCGATTTTTTTAAAAAAATTTAAAAATCGGATATTACTTTAAATGTATTCCAGCATGTTATGAATACTATAGCTTAGGAAATGTAAGATAATTTTGCTGTTACATCTTCTAGTTTATAATTTATATGAAAAAAATATCTATGGAAAAACTAATATATAAGTTTAAAATTTGATGGCGATGAAATACTTTCTTTCTTTCTTTCTTCTTTCTTTCTTTCTTTCTTTCTTCTTTCTTTCTTTCTTTCTTTCTTAGAACGATAAGAATACATTTCCGGTAATCAAAATTTTGATTTAAAGTTGAAAAAAATAACTCATTGCTGGAAAAAAGATGCTAACATATATATAAATAATTCTAAAATGTTTGCATGCGAAATTCGAACAAATTTTTTAGGGAGGTTTAAACCGAACCGATATTATTTATTTTTTACAATCGAACTCAAATCTTAACCCTAGTTTTATAAAAAAAAATCTTCGAATATTTTTTTGAGCAAAAATTGTAACGAGGAGAATCACTATTTTGAAAAATTTTTTTATCGATAAAAATGGCATTTAAATCTTGAGAGATCAAAAACCTTTAATTGATTTTTTATTTATATTGAAGTGCAATTTAAACTCTGTTCTTAGGACCCTTACTTCTACTTGAATCAGAACAAGCATTCAGTCTGTATTCATTATAAGTAGTGTTATTAAAAGGCCCGTTTTGAGCCGATTTTTAAAAACGGCTAACGCAATATTTTATCCAGAATAATATTAAGCAACCCTGAAGATTTTGTTTATAGAAGGAACAAAGGCTTGAACATCTATTAACGAAATCTCGAGGCTTAGGCAATATTTTTCTGGCTAAAGTATTGAGTTAGCCGTTTTTAAAAATCGGTTCAAAACGAGCCGGTTTACAACGTTAGTTAAAAGAGTGAAATATAATATCTATAACAAATATTTATATTGCATTTTTTTTAAAAATTAAAGTAACATTTTAATAAGAAAATAATTACCATATTTATTTGGTCAAAATATCGAATAGACGCCATCTCGTGTTTTTTTATATATCTAAATGTATCACAAAAACGATTTATTAATTAAAAATTCATTTATATACGTGGAAGGAAAAGGAAGTAACTTATATATGTATATATATATATATAGTATGATTCTTAAATTTAAATAATGCAAGTTGTCGGTGTTCTCTACCACCTAGATCTATAACAAAAACATAGACCTTAAAAAATTAACTATAAATATTAATTTTCAAAGCACTTTATATTTAAGACATAGAATAATTTGTTTATTACCTTCAGTTTTTCGAATATAATTAGTTGTTTATTTTTTTTTTACCAAAATAATCCTATATATATATATATTGTATCGGGATATGGAATGCATAGGGATTCAGTATATCTTGAATGATTTTTAATAAGAACTTCAATAACGCCCTTAAATAATTTGTATGGATATTTTAATATAAATGAAAAAAAACACACACAAATGTTTATGGAGAAAATTGTCTGAAATTTATAAAGTAGCTACTACATACATGCTGGAAAACATTTCCGGTCATTTTTAAAATAAAATAAAACGTATCATAATATGATTTTAAAGTTGAAAAAAATAAGACATTGCTAGAAAAAAAAACATTTATCAAATATGAGAGGATGTTATAAATGTATTTAAACTCAAATATTACAAATAAATTGGAGAGCGTTTTTCATGCCTTGTGGCTGCTACAGCTAATATTTTGTTATATCATAATTAGTTATAAAATCATTTTTTTTCGGCATTGTAAAAGGAATATATATTCTCTCTTCTGTTTCGGCTCACGCGATTTCAAATTTGAAGGATCATTTAAATAATTTTAAGCTAAACACATTACCCGAAACGTGATAGGAGTGTAAGGTGGCGAGTGAAAAGGCATTTTCATTTTTGATAACTCATTTGTTTTGATATACTAATCCAGGTGAATTTA